GAAGAAGAAGAAGAAGAAGAAAAAGCAATGAAATGAGGGTGGTGGGTTGGGCCAAACATGTAAACTATGATGAGGATTGATTGTGAGTATCATTTCGGTTCATTTTCTTCTTTATCAATATTATCAACAACTGTGATAATTTTCTTTTTATAGAGAGAAATCATTTCAATATGTTGCACAATTTTGATCAGATTTATCTGTCTCTGTATGTGTGTGAGAGAGAGGGGGGGCAGGAGTTAATTATGTGTGTTTTATGCTCAATTGTGAATAATTTTACAGGTTATCATGTATTATTTTTGTCTTCTGTTTCATATCCCCACACCCCTATATATATATACACACACACATACAACTGTAAACATAATTGTAATGGTCAATCATGTGAACAGAAGCCTTATTATCACTTTTTTTTATTGGTTTGTCTCTTCCCTATTCCAATTTGTTTTTTGTGGTTTGGGTTACCCTGGGGCGGATATATGGGAATATATTTGCTTTATTGTTCATTTTATTTTTACTATTTCTCTCACAACCCTCCACTGGTAATAATTATAATGTGTGTTTTAGTGTAAGTTTTGATTCCTTTACAACACCTCTTTATCTTTGCTTTCATGTCTTTCCCGTACCACCACCACCCACCCACCCACTCAAAAATAAAAACATTATCACTATACTACTTCATTATGGCAACTAATTGAACAGATCAATACATGTTCTTTGTCGTTATGTATGATGTACATGGTTAATGTACAATCATTTTTGATATTTATATCTATCTATATATATAAAGAGAGAAGAATGATATGATTTTACGTATGTTTTATAATTTAATCATGGAATAATAATAATAATAATATTTTTTCATCCTAATTTCAGATATTGATTGTTTATTTTGTTTTTTTTTCTCTTTACATTTTTTCTCTTTTCTTTTCTTTCTTTTTTTGTACGTTTTTACGCATTAATTTATTTTCTTTCTAATTGGTTAATAATGTAGTTTTGGTCCTCCCCCCTGTCTCTCTTTTATTCCTTTAATTTATCTCTGAGGGACTTGGTTCACTCTTGTATTGGTTACTAATGGATAATGGATTAATTTATCAAGTGTATGCTTCTCTCTCTCTGTGTGTACGTATGTATGTATGTAAACAATATTATGGTAGAATAAATTAATTTTACACATTACTTTGAAGTATGCTTTCAATCATTTCAGTAATATGGATTAATCATAATCTACATACATCTAGACAATAGTCCATCGAATCAAATTGTCATGCCATAACATTAGCGTAGCGATATCAAGATGAGTACTACAGTATTAATAGTAGTATAAGGGCTAGTAAGAAAAAGTTGCGTATAGACAATATCGTTCGAGAGTATATATACAGGATAATTTTAAAACTCGAAATGTAAGGAAAGATAAAGAGTGAATGCATTGATGTCATCCAAACCAGTTCTGAACCACCTCATCGAATGTCTGCAACCAGTTTTTATAAACTTGCCCAGACGAGAGTGCTCTCAATTGGCCACACACTACGAGTGTTGTTTACGAAATTGAGAGGACGAAAAGCGAATGTCCAGCGATTTAACCGGGTTAGTGGATATAGAGGGTCCATCTAGGGGAGTTGGAAAACTCGACTTCCGAACCAACGATGTACATGAACTCCAGGATCCTAGGAAAACAAATGGCGTATGGACCTATCATTGGTCAACGGCTAACATGGGACTGCATCTCCTTACGATACTCCACTGTCTTGTGGATTAGACCTTTAAGTTAAAGGCTCTAGGTGTGGCCCCCTAAGTAGACCACGTGCTTCGATTTAGGCACCTGTGCAGTATTCCAGCCCTCACAAAAATCAAATAATATTTGTGGCGCATATCTTTTTGGTGCCGCCTTGTACCAATGTTTATGTTTGAATATATAAAATCTTTCGATTCAAGCATACAATACTTAATAATTACAGAGTACGAGCATGTTCTGCGGCGGACTGGAAAGTACGGCAACTGACACGACACATCAACTGCTCGGATACCAACTAACCAGTCTGCATTTACTAATATTTCTCAATACAATTATCAGTGGCCTCAAAGAGTGAGACTGCGTTTCAGTTCGAACCACTTCTATTATTCCTACAACCCCAACCCAAAGACATCACTCATCGATGTAGGTGATGATTGATTATACGTAATATATAACCCGGTCGCCTAAATCTATGGAGATTCGAAACCGATGCACCACCATTCCCCAAGACTCTACGTTCAATCTCAAAATTGTTCACTTGATAATCCCAAAATATGCATCAAACACATGGTCAAATACTAGTAACCTACGAATATAACATTTGACATTAGCCGAAATCTTCAAGTAACAAGCTTATGGATGGTGGAACATCATGAGGAGGAGAGCATAGCTCAAATAATCTGTTAAATCCGAATTTACACGACAACTTTTCTGGCACTGGGTGTTGTACGATCCGAAATAAGTAAACCAGCTATCGTAGATGTACAGACTATATTGACTTGAAAATCATTAAGATTCTTAAAATCAGGTAACATAATTAAATCTGAAACTGTACCATATTGAAAAACTCCATTTTGTTCTTGTGTTGTAAACTAGATGGCTAATTTCAAAGCTAGTTTTGAAATTCTAACATTCATTAATGTATACATAGATGACACGGTATCCCATTTGACTGGCGTAACATATTGCTCAGTTATTTTCTTTACTTCTCTGTTGTATTCCTTGATTTGGATAAAAATGCATTGAAATGGTGCTAATTTCTGACATGCTGATATCTAAAAAGGCATTAAAAACCTTGCAGTGCAATCATTCAGTTCAGCGTAAGTAACATCACGTGTTCTCAAAGAATGCCAGCAATGTTTTGGAGATAGCAAACGTGTCAGAACGACGATTGAAGAGCTACCGAAACCATTTTATGGACTATTATTGCATATACTCTTACTGAGCAATTACTAGATAACTGGAACACTGTGTTTCTATATTCCGTTCATTGCAAACTTCTGTCCGACACAAATAATTACTGTACACATTATTCCTACTGCATAGCTAATCAATTATTAACAGTGCCCGGTTCAGTAACTTTTCGCCTGTTTGTCTACAACTATGATCTATTTTATGATACAGTGCGTGCGGTCTAGAATATTTATGCATAAACCCACATGTGCTTGAAATAATAAAAGTTTGGAGGGTGACTTCGCTTGCGGACTCAGGGCTGGAAATAGAAAAAAAGAGTGCAGAGTGGACCAACACGCTCATGTTGATCATTAGTTGATGAGGTACCCTCCATATCAAAATACGCTAACGATTTCATTTATACACTAAGAAACGTTCTCGCAATAGGTCAACATATCTTTGATGAAACACGCTGAAATGACTCAGTGTATAAAAGCAAATTCAAACCAATGTTCCGACCTGAAGTATCTGCTGGTGATGTCCTCCAAAAAGACAATGAATACTCTGTAATTAAACGATGTAGTTAAGAGAATAGAACACCAAAACAACAAACTGCTACTTTAGACATGTTGAATATTTCTCAGTGACTTGTTTACACCTGACCACTTATGGAATTGTTTACTATTAACCATTCAGTTAGTAACAACGTAGAACTTCGTACATACGTACGTACATCAGTTCGAGTTGCCACACCATATTAGCACAGAGATGCAGTTGTCGAGTCAAGTTCCGTAGTGGTAGAAGTGGTAAGAGTATAAGCAGTAATCGGAAAGATTAGGGTTTGAAGATGTTATTCAAGGAGTATAATCTAGTGAAATAAATTCGGAAAGAGGAAAAAAGGACATGAATAATTCAGAAGATTAAGATTTGGGAGAACACAAAGAGTGGATGCACCTGCACCATTGCAAACGACTTTGAGCCGTGTCATTCAGGGTCTCTAACCATCGATTTCTATCATCTCGCGGTCCCCAATCAGGTAGTCTACATCTACCAACATGTCTCAGTCCACTTGTCAGTGACTTCATGGACTTGTGCCATGTTTTGGTCTGGCCGCCACTAGCTTTCTTCCAACCTACACCGTAAAACGTAGTACGTCGAAGCAGTCGGTGGTTGGGCATACGTAACACGTGTCCCAGCCATTACAATATATCAATAATTGGACATGAATAATGCAACCAATTTCATTCAGCAACTAACTTATCTCCCGTATCGAGAACTCAGTGTTCAATAGATTCACCAAATGTAGTCAATGCTAAGAAAGATTCGTATATGATCAGAAATTTACTATTGCATAACGTTATCTGAAAAACCATAAAGCATATACATACCTGTAATAAGTATTTAAATCACCCAAACCTAACCAAACAAAGACTCCTTTTTCCGTAATAATATTTCCTACCCACTGATAATACTTATTCAAACAAATGAAATAACCAACGCAATTAACAACGAATTATCGATATGCTAAATACTAATATACTGAAGAGTATTTAGACTTGGAACTTTCTTTTTTTGAAAAAGAACAGATCGTTTACTATTTTAAATCATGAACTAATCTTAGCTAGACCGCTAATTAACACCAGGAAGCATTGAATAATTGTTTCGTTCTAGTATATGGAACTATACATCAGAGCGAATCCACAACTCTGTCAAACGAAATCGAATCAAGGATGTGTTTTTTTTAGTTTGTCACGAGTGAACGCTTAATCTCGAAACCAACGAGTCGGCATTCAATGGTGTACATGTCTAGTTTTAATCAATTCAATGTATTGTGAGACCATCGTTGATTGTGATATAATATCAAAACAGAGAAAATATACATACATGTGTATATTATGTATAAATGTGTTGTTATTAGACTGCATAACCACCTTACAAACAACCAAAAAACTGGTGAACAAGCCCAGTATACAAATAAACATACATAAAAGAAGAACAATAGACTAACAAAAAGTCAATAATAGACAGAAATTAAATCAATTCGTAGTAAATAACAATGATCACAATATTAAAGTAGAAAATATTTATATTTAAACTATTTCCCTATTCCAGACAATGTGGTTTTCATTTCACTACTTAAACCACTACTAGGTTTCTCGTCGACGATATTATCATCACTATCATCATCATCATCGTACCATGATTCAGTATGTTCTTTTTCAACATCCACTTGATCATTATTGTTATTCTCTTCCTCCTCCTCCTCCTCCTCGTTGTCGTTGTCATCGTCCAACTCTTCTTCATCTGCTTCCTCTTCTTCGTCTTCTTCCTCATCTCCGATCAACTTGACTGAGTCTAATTCACTATCTCCAGAATCATTTCGATTGTTACTATTCGATCGTAGTGTTGTTGGAGCGATAACAACAGACGGTGAAATAGTTTCCTGTTGTTGTTCTTCTTCAATAGTCGGTATATAATTGTTATTATTTATGGTAGTTGTTGAAATTAAATTAGCATTAAACGGTAATTTATCATCAAATGATGATGGTTCCATGGGGACAGGTTTATTTTGCATTTCAGCGTGAAGATCACGATCACCTGGTAACTGTTGAGTTGGATAAGATGAAGCGGGTAAATTTAAACGTGCTTTTCTATCAGCTTTTAACCATTTTTCTGTGGATAAAGCCTCCTAAAAGAAATCAATAACAATCAAAATTGATAATCTGAATCTAACAATTCTTTAAAATGAATGTTTTCGCAACATTTTTTGTGTGTCTAATGTAACATTCAATGAACAAAGACAATCTGTTAAGATCATTGCGTTAAGATAAGATATATTGTTTACAAATATAAACAATCGAAACTCTGGAATAATCAACACTACATATTAGCTTGTAGTGGAATCCAGGAAGCGTATTTCATCTCATTTTGGACTGGTCGGTAGGATTTACAACATACATCCCAGTGTTGATGATGTTTAAACTTAAACTTGAACCCAGTGACTATTACTTCAAATAATAGAGCTCACGAGTTCGAAACAGAATGAAACGCGCGTCCTGGACTCTACTAATAGCTACAACCCAAATTCTACTCAATATCCTTATGACTTTAATGGCAATCTGAACATTATGAATATATATCGAAAAGAGACTGATCAATTGCAGTCTTTAACATCAATAATGGGAAGATTTAAGTGACAAATACAAATGAACTACAAATTAACACATAATTGCTTGAGAAATAAAAAACATGACAACTGTAAGTGTTAGTCAGAGGTGAAAAAATGGAAAGGTGGGACTGTGAGGAGGTACTAGATGTGAATCCCGGAGTGAACACCAACGTTGGGATGCCAGTACATCCAGCATATAGGACGAAACGCGTGTCCTGGATTTTACTGCTAGCCACATATGATCTACTCTACTCAGTGATTGGCGCTTAGTATTCCTGTGTGGCCTTTAATATAAGCTTTCATTTGACACACTGTTGATGCATATTTTACCATAGAGTAATTGTAATCAGTCAATTATGTACCTGTATTATTGATTTGTCTGTCGTAAATGCCCTAGTTATACACAGATTGTGATTGCCTATTATGGTGCATTGTAGTTTTGTAATTGATGTATGAGATTTTAAGTAATGAATATAAAAAGTAAATTGGCCTTTTGAGGTTTTTGGCATCCTAATTGGACAGACGGTTTTCATGCATTTATTTAGTTGTGTGTAGGCTGGGACACTGCATGGGTGCCCAGACTGAACCAGGTGCTTTCCTTAGGGGGCCACACCCGGAGCATTCAACCTAGAGGTCTAACCCACAAGGCAGTGAAGCAACATCAGGAGATGCAGTCCCATGGTAGTCGGTGACCAACAATAGGTTCATACCCCATTTGTTTACTTAGGATCCTGGAGCCCATACACACCATTGGTTTGGAATCAGGGTTTTCCAACTCTCCTAGATAGATACTCTGTATCCATCTGCTTTTCTTCCTCTCAATTTCGTAAACAACACCCCCGCCTTGAGAATGCAGTGAGTAGGACGTCCCTGTCAGTGGCTGTATACACGTGGTCATTTGAGAGGGAGAGTTGGCTCTCCCCACCCTCAACTTTACCAGGGCATTCGGGGGCTTAATCAGCAACAGCAAGCTTAATGGGGACAACAGGTAAATTGGAGGTAATCGTTAGTGTTATTTATTGTATTTGGTGAACTGTTCATCAATAAACTTAATAACTAATAATAATTGGTTTAATGATGATCTGATTTTGAACAAATTGCTATGTGAGGACTTGTTCTAGGATCATTTGAGAGAGAGAGAGGGAGAGAGTTAAAGTCAATAACTCATCATCTGTACCAATGTTTGTATTTTCACTTCGTATCATAGAAATTACAAGGATTCCTGTTTTCAAGTATACACTGTAAGATAGTGAATAGGTCTATAATACAAATGGGAGAGGGAAATGAGAAAGTATCCTTATCAAAGGTATTTTCTGTACGAACACACACACATATATGTATATAGGTGATTGAATGTAAACATACCTCGAGATCTGGAAATAAATTTGGATAATCTTTTGGATTAGCTAAAGAATTAGCAATTTTTGCACTGGCTTTATTTGATTTATCTAACCAATTACGCCATTGTTCAACTATTTCAGGCATATAACTTGGTAAATATGTACGAGAAAAAAATGCAGCTTCAGGGAATCGTTTAGCATTTGTTAACAACTAAGTAAAAATATGATAAGAAACAAAAAGCACAAAATTAGTTAAATAATTGGGATAAATTAACAAATAATTATTTATTTTATTTCAACACATAGATAGTGGTAAAAAGAGGCACCAAATACATATGCGCCACGCAAATCTCATTCGATATGTGTGAGGGCTGTGATACTACCCGGGTGCCCAGACCGAAGTAGGTGATTTTTCTTAGGGGGCCACTCCCCGAGCCTTCGACCTGAAGGTCTGATCCACAAGGCAGTGGAGCATCGTCAGGAGATGCAGTCCCATGGAAGCCGGTGACCAACAATTGGTTCATACGCCATTTGTTCTCGCAGGATACTGGAGCCCATGTGCACTATTAGTTTGGAATCCGGTTAAAGCTCCGGACATTCGCTTTTCGTCCTCTCAATTTTGTAAACAACACCCCCGCCACGAGAAGGCAGTGAGTAGGACTTCCCTGGCAGAGGCTATATACGCGTGGCCATGTGAGAGCATTTCGAAAGGGAGAGCGGACTCTCCCCACTCTCGGCCGTACCAGGGCATTTGGGATAAATTAACAAATAATTAGTGTGATACATATTAATTTAGGGATGGGTGTGGTGTTATGCCTGTAACTCTCACTCACATTTTCAATGTATGAATAATGGAGATAAACTGTCCAACTAGGTGCATTGCAACCAAACGATTTGGAATTTGCAAATGACCTACCCACTTCTATCCCATATGTAGTAACAAATCTAGGTGAAGATAGTCAGTGTAATATCAGCTTTTCCATAGTAGGCTTCAATATACACTAGGGGAAAAACAAGATCCTGAAATATAACACAGAGAACACCAACCCAATCATACTTGATGGAAAAGCTCTGGAAGATGTGGAAACGTTCACGTGTTTGGAGAGCATCATCGATGAACAAGGAGGATCCAATGCAGACGTAAAGGCAAGAATTGGCAAAGGGTAGCATTCGTACAGTTGAGGTACACACAGAACTCGAAACAACTGTCAACCAATATCAAAGTCAAAAATTTCAATGCGAACATCAAAACAGTTCTGTTGTAGGGAGTTGGAACTTGAGGGACTACTAAAACCATCATGAAAAAGACACAGGCATTTATAAACAGTTATCTACGCCAGTTACTTCATATTCGCTGGACGAATACCATCAACAACAAAATACTATGTGAGAGGACAAACCAGCTTTTAATTGAAGTGGAAATTAGGAAGACTCTGGAAGTGGATGGGACACACACTGTCTAAACCATCACACTGCACTACGAGACAACTTGGATTCCTGAAGGCGAAATGAGAAGCAGAAAACCAAGTCACACATTGCGTTGGGAATCGGAAGCAGGAACCAAAAGGTTGGATAGCGATCAGAAAAGATTGTCCAGGACAGCATTCGATGGAGAATGCTGGTGGGCGGCCTATGCTCTTTCAGGAGGGGTGACAGGCGTAAGTAAGTAGTTGCATTGAAGTAGGAGGAGTAAGATATAAGCCGGTAACCTTCTTGTTTCGAAGTTAAGTAACCTATACCATTAGTCAATTACTCTTATAGGATGATAATTAATGAATTTATTGGTGTAACCATATGGAATAGGTAGAATTACTTGTGTGGTTGAAGGAGAGGCACAATTAAAAAACATGCATTCAAATTAATCATATGGAGTATGAGCTTCATAGAAAATCTGAACTACACATTCACTTGAGCTCGAATACACTTACATTGAGGATACCCTGTAGTGTTATATAATAACAGATTCATATCGCAACAACCTATATCATATAATAAACTTTTAATCGACAATGAGCAAGCGGAAATAGAATCTATTCTCAGCTAGTTAAACACAACACAGAACTTAGCATATGTATACACCGGTTCCAATTGCAATGGCTCATTAATACAGCAAGATGGGATAGTCAGGCCAAATCCAAAAGTTAGTAATACAATCAATAAAAGTTATAGAAAACATTAGGCATCTAAGATATATATAAACATAAATTAATGAAATACTATAAAGTTTATGGGGAATTTAGAAACTAAGAAAAGACAAGGAATGGATGCACCTGCGCCATTACAAACGATTTTGAGCCATGTCATTCAAAGTCTCTAACCACTGGTTACGATATTCACACGGAACCCAACCAGGTAGTCGACATCTACCAACTTAGCTCAGTCCAATAGTCAGTGTCTTTATGAACTGGTTTGATCGTACCTAACTTTCTTCCGACCTACTTAAAACACCAACCAACATTATCTGTCGAGATAGGTGGTGGTGGTAGTGTTTCAACCACCTCTGTTGATGAAGATTATTATGGTGATACTTTACAATGTTCAATCAAGCCATCAAGCTCAAGTCGATAAACCTTGATTAGATTATCACGATATGGAAGCTCGATCATCAAAGCCAGGGAAGTAACTACGGTAGGGTGTGGGAAGGTTTTAAAAGTGTAAAAAACCGCCCCTACCCACACGCGTAAACACACACACACACAAAGCAGAAAACCACAAATAAAAATGATTACAATGCAAAATAATAATATTAATAATAAACTTACTTCAAGACAACCTTCCAAATCAGTGACAAGAAAACGTGCTAGAAAAGCAATATTATCATTTCCTTTCGTAGCTGCTTCTTTGCCAATCCATTCAAGTAGTTTACGATTTCCTGAACTTGTCGCCAATAACATTAGACTAGCATAATCGTCTGTACGTGATAAATATTCTTCAGCATATTTAAATTTACAAGCCTTACAAGCGGCTTCAGCTAACTGAATACATTCATGAATGTAAAGCAGGAGGGTTTTATTTGTTAATTAAGAATGTAAGGCAATTTATTATTATTAAAGCATGTAATAGCTCATTTAAACAAGAATGTAGGATCTCGGTATGGAAGCTAATGTTGAGATCCAAGTACATCCAGGTGATGAGTCTCGAATAGGGTCACAATCTATTTACTCTATGTAGAATGAATGGCTCGAATACTTTCCTTGCTAAAAATAGTATTGAAACGTTGAGATTAACGTTTAACTACAGACAATCAACCATAATAATATGAAGATTTCAATAAAATCATTCGAGGTTCGAAGAGCGATAGGCTTTTTGTTAGTTTGATAGTAGCAGAAATTTGATGGAACTTTTAGTTCACTCATCGTGTTCTATCATGAGTGTTTATGGTGTATCGTTCCATATCACTTGAAAATATTATTTGTGGAGGTTTGAATAACAATTTTGTTTATATTCATAATTAGATTTTGATCAGTTTTAGTGCCTCAACACAACCATTTTCTCACAATAATTTTATAAACAAGATAGATTGTAACTAGAAATGGAATGCAGGACACGCATACTTAGTAGTTCGATGTACCTGTATCTCGGTGTTGATAGTAACATTTAGGACACAGTACTTTTCCCTTCAAATCCCTAGTGCATTTATCCACTGAACTAATGATTCCAGATAATTAAATACTGATTAAATTTAAGTGATGAGTATCAGTAAACAGATAATGCAAACTACTACGGTGAAACTATAATTTATAGATGAACCAATAAGATTTAAGATAGCAAGTTTTGGATGTCACAATTGATTGATCACTGGGTGGTGATCAATGTCATGCTTGTCTAGTCCTTATTAGTGCAGATCGAATGCTATCGATCATGTTGCAATGTGGCCACTAGTCTAGGTGACTCGACACTGCGGGCACTATGTATTGAGATTTAGATGGTGGTTGGAGGTAGTCAACAGGAAACCCGAGACCCGGGTTTCGTTCTACTTGGCACTTGTCAGCAAGGTGTACCTGTAATCTTGAGAGAACTGGTGCTCCCTGGCGGATTCGATCTCGTGTCACCCAGCTTCACAGTCAGAGACGTTACCACTGAGCTATCCGAGCCGTGACTAACCTCCTGTAGGACTGAGATGTAATCACAATTGATTGATCACTGGGTGGTGATCAATGTCATGCTTGTCCAGTTTTGGATGTTGGCGCGGAATCTATTTATTCATATAGTTAAGTACCATTTTGACATTACAGCTGATGTCAATTCATAATGAAAACCCTAACTCTAATTCCTAATCCTAAATTTTGATTTTGAATTCTAATCTTATATTCCTCATACTAATTTGTAACTTCCCCAAGCGCCTGGTACGGTAGAGGGTGGGGAAAGTCCGCCCTCTCCCTTCAAATGCTTTCACATGGCTATGTGCATGCAGCCAATTTCAGGAAAGTCTTATCCACTGCCTTCTTGTGGGGGTATTATTGACGAAACTGGGAGGACGAAAAATGAATACCCGGTGTTTTAACCGAATTGGTGGACATAGAGGGTCCACCTAGAGGAGTTGGGATATCCTGATTCCAAACCAGTGGCGCACATGAGCTACAGGATTCTGAGGGAACAAATGGAGTGTCAACCTATTGATAGTCAACGGCTACTATGGGACTTCATCTCCTAACGTTGTCCCATTGTCTTGTGTATTAGACCTCTAAGTCAAAGGCTTGGGGTGTGCCCCCCCCCCCAGAAAACCACGTGCTTCGGTTTGGGCGACCGGGTAGTATCACAGCCCTCATACAAATCGAATGAAGAAGTATGGTACATACACAATTGGTGCCTTCTTATACCAATGTTTAAATAAATAAACAGCAAGTGGGCGAGTCACTTTAGCATCGTTCAAAGGTCGTTCATAAATTATAGTCTCACTACTTTCTGAAATAAACAGTACACAAATAGTCATCAATGAGTTGATTGTCTTAAATTTAGGCAAGAAATCATTCCACTTCACAAGAAACTAAATCTTATTAGTTTACTTCATGTGATAAATAAGTTTCCGGAGAAGTGAATAAGCAAAAATTGATGGTAGTCAAAGTAGGGAATTAGACTTGTTATTCTGACAAAGACCACTCTCCCACAGGAATGTAACCGTTGTATTTTGTTTAGAGTACAGTTTCAAGTCAAAATTTAGAACCAGTATTTTCATAGGTATTACCGAAATCCCTAGTGAGTTGATGAGTGAGCGTTATTGAAGAGTCCCATATTCATGCGAAATAGTTGTTCACTACCTCCTTGGTTTCCAATGGTTATCTGACTAAACTTAACTCATAATCTGAAATAAAACATTCAACAGTTTCCACAACTCCTGTTTACCAAAAATAGCCTCACAAACTATCAATGTGCAAAACTCTATTACACCGGTTGAATAAATAATTCCGTTGAAAGTCAACTTCGGCAATGCATAATGATATACATCGTTTAGGTGAATATAAGTGATACACTACTTAACAAACTAACTAACTTACTTGTTTCCATTTAGCTTCATTTGTTTTAGCATCACCATCCATGGCAATTTGTTGGCATAATTCAAAATCTCCTAATTGTAAGGCTAATTCAAATTTATGATCCATATCTGTAGTGACACGCATAGCTTGTTTTCGATAACCTTGTTTCTCTAAGAATTGAGCAATTTTTGTATATTGATCTTTTGATATATTTGGTAGAATAGCATCAGCAGTTGTAAAATCTCCACGTAATACCGCTGTTTCATATTCTAATACACTGAGTAATAGAGTATAACTAACAATCTATGATTGATCGCCAGAGAGGATATGAAGTGAGGAGAAAGAGAAATAAATTAAAAATTAGTTCATATTTTTTAAAGATTATAAATGTAAATTCACTTCATAGCTAGCCATGACTCAATGTCTCCGTTCTGCATGCTAAATTCCTAGAAATCACTTGGTAAATGCATCATTTTTGGGAATATGAATTTCCACATCCTCCAGAGCTTTTCCATTAAACATGATTGGGTTGGTGTTCTCCGTATTGCACTTAAGGATTTTGTCTTTTCCCTTGTGTATGTTGAGGTCTGCTGTACAAAAGCTGATGCTACACTGACTATCTTCACCTAAATTTTTTGTTCTACATATGGGATAGATGTGGGTAGGTCATCTGTGAAATCCAAATCACCTAGCTGCATCCAAGCTTTCCTACTTCTAATATTTAACTTCATCTTGAAATGTATACTTGTGGTAATGTTACCTAGGGAACATGATCAGAAAGCTTCATGGATAAAATAACTAGATCCAAGAATGAAACACCGTCAAAACTATTGAAGTAACATGAATCTTATTCAATGAGCTATATCGATTCAGAAATTATTTACAAAAAGATTTTAATTCAAATATTAGCTTACATTCTGAAACTGGGGTAAGCAAATAGCATAGCACAAAAACATACCTGTAAATCTCTATCACCTAGAATTAAACGATTTTCTTTTGCTAAATAACCTAATAAATACATTGGACGATCTAATAAAGCTAATGTGAATACTTCACCACCAACAAAATAACATAAACGATTCCCTTGTGTTGTAAATATAAATGCATCACCAAACCAACGACCATTAAGTACTTGACTATTGACTTCACCATTCGGTACAAGCTATCAGAGAAAATAATAATAATAAGGTAGAAATACAATAGAAACAAACTCAATGTAATACACATTACATCAGATGATTAGAAGACCGAAAAAAAAACATTAAAGCGTTCAATGTCATCTGATAGAACTGAATAAATGTGTACTGACAAGACATAAATGAACATTAAACTATGATTATTTCGTATAACATTTTATATACACATTTAACTAATCTGAAATAAAATCAAAAATAAGTAGTATAGTGTGTGCTACTGATGTTGACAGATATAAGTAGTATGTGTCATCAAGTGAAGGTGAAATGCCCGGAGGTAGAAGATCAAAGAAAAGAGAATAAGAACAAAGAATGATTGGTGTAGAAATGAAGGAAAAATCAAGTTGGAGACGATAAACATTTTGCAAATGAAGTATTTACTGTATGGTTCTAAGATTTTACTAAGATATTCTATAATTTTATATGCAAATACACATTCGATTGTCCCCATTTGTATTCTCGTTCACTACAATAGTGATTTGGTTTGAAGGTTATACTAACCATTTAATTCAGACCACTTGTAGCCAGCATGAATTCAAAATCTGTAACAATAGAAATATTGATGGAACTATAGGCAAGTTTGAGTGACCGTCATGCTAATGTTGACAATTTTTTTAAAAATCCCACTTAGTTAATACAAAGAATTTATAGTGTTAGGATTTGGATATAAGTCATATGATTAGGATTAAGGTCTGAAATTTATGGTTAAGATTTGGTGTTTACGGTTAGAATTTAAGATTAGAAAGCAATTCTTTTGAGGTTCAGAGTTAAAGTTCAAATTAGGGCGTAATGCACATGATTACAGTTAGAATTAGGATAAAGATTCAAGGTTTTGATTTAGGAACGGGATTAGATTTTCTGATTAGTCTAATTTTAGTCCCAGTCCTAAATCCTAACCCGTGAACATTAATCGTAATTGCCTAATGATGCTTTCATTATTAGAACTAACCAGCTATGTTTGATAAACACTACTCTTTTCTTATATACGTGCTGTGGTCTTGAGGTTACTTGTTCGTTCCTGATTCTAGTGACCAACAGTCTGATGCGTTGTTATTTATTTATTTATGTATCTTAACAAATAGATGTTGGTACAAGGAGGCACCAAATACATATGGGCCATACAGATCTCATTTGGTATGTGTGAGGGCTGATACTGCCTGGGTGCCCAAACCGAAGCAGGTGGTTTTCTTAGGGAGCCAACCCGGAGCATTCGATCCAAAGGTCTGATCCACAAGGCAGTGTAGCATTGTAAGGAGATGTAGTCCCATGGTAGTCGGCGACCTTCAGGATACTGAAGCCCATGTACACCATTGGTTTGCAATCAGGGTATTCCAACTCCCCTAGGTGAATCCTCCATATCCACCAACCCGGTTAGAGCGCCGGACATTCGCTTTTCGTCCTCTCAATTTCGCAGACAACTCTTAATTTAATCGTTTTTTATAAAAAACCACTACAGATGAATAAAAATGATAAGCAGGATAAACGCATACTTGGAGACATATAACGTTTACGGTCTTAATTTGCTCATTTTCATATTTTCACCAAATTCAAACCATACTATTATAAGCAGAGATGAATGGTGATTTGCAGCGCAACCCAGAATGCGCGTTTTCTTCTATTTTGAGCTCATCAGTTGCATGTACTTGCATCACAGAGTTGATGCACACTCCAGGAGTTGAACTCATTACCTTTGTCTTCGAACAATATCGCGTTATCCACTCAACTACTGAGTCTACATAGCCATAGGCTTGTGCAACGGGGTGGATTTTATTTCATATATACATATACATGAAATTTATATTCAAACATTTTGAAAAACACAAATCCAGTGAAGAAACACTTCTTTTCAATGAAAGAAAGTATTAAATAATACTATCCTAGTAAGAATATAACTAAGCAAGGTTTTTTATTAGAAATGTACATCTTACTACTAATGAGTAGTGTAGTATTTAGAAGAAGAAGACAATAGGGTTATCATTGGCTTCTACTTAACACTATGGTTAACACTTTTTTCAAACCGTTAAGTTTAGTTATATATAGTATTTCATACAATAGTAATGATTATTCATGCAGAAAAAGCATCCTTGATCCTTTGTATCTGGATTTCCCATTGAGTGCCAACATCATTAAATGATGTATGGGATAGAAGTCGTTGTGATGACACGTGTAGAGTATGTTCAATTCAATGAAATCAGTACTTTAAGATAGGAATGATCATATATTTATTACCACATGAGCAATTGCCAAATCACAGGTTGTCGTTGTTGTTGTACCTTACTACTGCTTACATTATGTCGAAAACAAATTAGAGAGATTACTCAGAGGCAACAATGACGTCATAAAGTTTTTAAAAAAAAGAAGCTATCAGCTTAGAACAAAACTGAAACAGATTGACGTTTTGCTAGTGCCAAAGAGAGTCTAGGTCAACATGAACTACTTTGACTTTTAATACATACAGATTTATTCAGCTTGATATATCACATCAATAGCACTCACATAGCTAATCAAATAAGTGAAATTCTCGACTCTTTACAACAAACGATGAATGGAGCCGCACACTTTTATTCTTATCCTAGCTAGTATAGCAAGTCAGGGTGGATGGTCATTGGATACATAGATAACAAATTGCTGAACACTCCGACTAATGTAGACTCATAATTTCACCAATCGATTTACGCTTAATCTAGGAGTTATTCACTTGGTGATTCTACCATACTTTTTCTGGCAACACGTTGAAGACATCTATAGTTAAGCATGAGCAAGCTAAGTGCGTATATTCAACCTCAAAAGACCATATTTCACAGTTGTAAATTAATACAGAGCAAACTATTGAACAGGATAACTGATCTTTGATAAGCAAGTGAGCATAGTTTGATTGAATCCAACAGGTGGAATTGTAGTAGTTTCTCTGTTATTACACACCAACGCGAATTATCCGAACCTTTGGACAGACTTTAATAACTCAGACAGCCTGTGACTGCCAAGTCATTTTTACCTTCTTAATAATCTTGCTCACTTCATAGAGAATTGTGACCTTCAGTATGTATACGCCCTATATTTATGTCCTTATAATTCAACAACAATATGTCTCGTGTGTGCTCGTGTGCGTATGTCTGTATTCAAACACCATCTTACATCTTAACATAGAGCACACGATGTCGAGTCACATAGACTAGTGACTACATTGCAACTTGGTCGACAGAATTCGGCGTGTGCTAAGAAAGACCTGATATACATGATATTGGTCACTACCCAGTGATCCATCGATTGTAAATATATTTCAGTCCTACAAGAGTTCAGTCAGGGCTCGGATAGCTCCATCGTAACGTCTCTGATTGTGAAGTTGAGTGACTGAATCCACCACAGAGTATTAGTTCCCCTAAGATTATACATATGCCTTGCTGACGAGTGCCAAATATCACGAAATCTATGTCGAGTAGAGTCCCCTGTGGACTATATTCAACCATCACCTTACACCTGTTTCCAATGTCTGTCTCCTTATCGTACTATACATTATCTAGTTTGCGTTATATTAACGCTTGTAATGAGAAATATCTTGAATAGGCAAATTTGCCTCGTCTATACATGTTATCTCTTCGTTTGTCTACCTCATTACCGATTTCATCCTATTAGTTTAGCAATGGGGGGGGGTTAAAGCATAAACCTAATTTTACCATCTTTATATTCCCAAATCAAATAGATTTCACTTACTTGAAAGGCTTTTTCATATCCATCTATATCTTCATGGTTATTATTATTGATTGTTGGCAAATTAGAATCTGGTACAGCATCAGCTGAATAACGTAATATGTAAAATGTATCATTTGTACATAATGCTACTAATTGACCAGATTCATTCCAATAAACACCTTTTGGATTATTATCAATACGTCGAATAATTCGACCAGTTAACCAATCATAAAATGTTAAACCAGTTAATGAACGTACACCTAATAAATGTCCACCAAATATTTGTTCAGCACCATAATCTAATTTAAATGTACGAACCTCTTTCATTTGTTTGTAAACCTTAGTAGAAAAGATAATATTACACACTTTAGTCAAGAAGATGATGATGATATTGAATTCAGAAATATGATTCATAGTAATATAATACAATATTTATTTAATCAGTATAGGGTTGTGAAGATTATTAAGTTATAGATTGAAATCATGAACCGATTGATGTTACACCACTATTGAAAACCTCAATGTACTGGACGGTCATTTCATCCTATTGTGAGACTCCTCAGCAGTGCGCATCCACGATTCCGCTCGTGAAATTTCAACCCAGAGCCTTCAATCTCACGCGCGAACGCTTAACCTCTGGACGACTGAGCCGGTCGGCATCCAATGGTGTTGATGTCTAACCTCAACCATCTTCCATTGTACTGAGGTAGATACTTGTCTCTCCTTGCAAAACATTAGCTTCACTGGTCACGGCTTCTCACTAAAACTTCGAGAATTCCCTCAGGAAGCTAGTCACTAGTGAGTACATTTTAATCATAAATTCCCTGCAATCTTAGATCTCGTGTAGACTGTTCGCCAGGCAATGCTACGTATTAGGCTTCAATTAATTTTGGACTTATACAAATTCAGTCTACAATGCTATGTTAATCCAAGAATTTAATCAACAGTACCTCGTACATAATCCAGATTCGAACTATCGTCTAATTCAAATTTTCATTACTTGGAAGTGAAAATAACCCAGGCAAGTTTTACTCTTTTTCCCTTTCCTGGTTAATTGACTACGTTTTTAGCACTTCTTAACTTACATAGATTTTTTCTCCGTTAGACTGGTTGTATATATTTCATACGAGCCACTCCCAAGACTTTTTGGTAGAAGAAATATTTAATATTTTTGTACTACATCATACTATTAAGAAAACGTGTAAGTAACGCAGTTGTTAGGAAACGGGTACTAGGTAAGGATGGCAAATCAATTGATGAAGTAGTGAAACTTCATCAGTTGAGATGACTGGGACACATGTTACGTATGCTCAACCACCGACTGCCCCGACATGCGATGTTTTATGGTGTAGGAGTAGGTTGGAAGAAAGCTAGCGGCGGCCAGATCAAAACATGGCACAAGTCCATGAAGTCACTGACAAGTGGACTGAGACATGTTGGTAGGTGTAGACTACCTGGTTGGGAACCGCGAGATGATAGAAATCGATGGTTAGAGACCTTGAATGACACGGCTCAAAGTCGTTTGGAATGGTGCAGGTGTATCCACTCTCTATGTTCTCCCAAATCTTAATCTTCTGAATTATTCATGTCCTTTTTTCGTCTTTCCGAATTTATTTCACTAGATTATACTCCTTGAATAACATCTTCAAACCCTAATCTTTCCGATTACTGCTTATACTCTTACCACTTCTACCACTACGGAATTTGACTCGACAACTGCATCTCTATGCTAATGTGGTGTGGCAACTCGAACTGATGTACGTACGTACGAAGTTCTACGTTTTTACTGACTGACTGAAGAAAAAGTGTGTTGTTTAAAGACATTTCTCAGTTCCAGTTGCTTTTGCGACATGTTTGTCAATGTCACTAGGCTAAATGCAGGAACTTTTTGTGTAAATTTTCTAACTCGTCATACTCCTACCTAAAGTTCCATAAGTTTACTTAGCTTTAAAACTATGTTTCTGGCCATGTTTATTATTATTAAACTGTCACATACCTCACCAACCTGCATGTTAATCTGGCCGGTACATGCGTTGCATTATATCTCTATGTCTCTTATATTTAAAAACCATTTGAGTCGTCTTTAACATTTTTTCAATAAACCCTTCATAGTCATAATTGCTATGTGTATTTGGGTTTATGAATTAGTCCATCATATTAGTAGCCCAATAATACGAACATAGTTTAGACAGTAAAGTCACGAAATTTAGGTACTATCATGATGCACTAGTATAATAACGAAAATATCAGGTAGTTGTTGGCTACACTAATATTTAATATCAAAACTTCGGAGCCTACTACTAAAACTAACACTGTGTAGACGAATACTTTTGAATCGAAATTTATAATATAATCAAGTAGTTTTAATTCTTTAACGCTGCAAACTTCTGTTACTTCAGAAACACATCAAACAACAATAACTATTTTCAACTGGCTACTCCTCAATCAACACTATAACCAGTTGAACATAATGGTTTCAGGCCCGACCGTTGTTGCTACCTTGACGTGGTGGTCGGGCTTGCCTATCGTTATGAAGCAACCGAGTTATACTGACTGGAACAATCATTCCTCAAGGTCCCCACATGCCAGACAGGTCGGTTGAAGAACGGTAAGACTAAAAGCAACAAACCTAAGGTCTGAAGTCGTACTGCTGACTGTATAGAGGTGTGACGGTAGAAGTGTTTCCTTCAGTCGACAAGCATAACAGCGATGCTGCCTTCCCACAAGGAAGGGTGGGGTTAGAAAAGGTCAAACCTAAAATTGCACACCCCTTCTTATCCCATGGATATCCGTCTCCGGCAGTAAGGTCTCAACAAGTACGGAGCTAACACGAAATTACTCACAAAATGGTCGTGTGTGACCGACCACAAGCAGTTGTCCCTTGAGCACTGCGGTCACGCTCTCGGGTCATTAAGATCACCTCTAATCCAATTTCCTTTTCAGGTACATCCAGAAAAACCTTTCCACGGTGTGGGCAACCGGGAATTGATAACCGCCTTCACATCTCTAACAGCACTCAAGACCACTATATTCATAATCAACCTCCTTCTTCAGTCCCCATTATTCCTTCTACGTCGACTTTCAACACTAAACTTCCTCTTTTCGCTTCCTCCTCAAGTGTCACCATGACCAACGATTCTAGTGCACAAAACACTGTCCCAGGTCTATTGAAACCCCGCTCCAAACTACACATTAGAACCTTCAACGTACGCACCGTATGTCAAATCGGCCAGCAGGCCTCCTTGGCTAAGACTCTAGAATCTCGTACCATTATTATTATTATTATTGTTTGAACACATGAATATTGGTACAAGAGAGCGCCAATATATATGCGCCACACAAAACAATGAGAATTCGAAGAGAAACACACATACACGATCTTAGCGTAGTCATTCACTTGACCTAACCTCTTCGGAAAGCTAAACGCTTTATATCTTTCTTTCTATGAACTAATTCTTTCTTCCTGTATTATATCCTAATATGCAATCGTTTATTATACATTACTACAACTGAAGTGACTACTATGAATTTGTTCATCTTGTTGTGCTAATGAGGTGTGGTAACTTGGACCGACCCATATAAGCGCCTGGTCCTACGTTGTAGTTGACTGACTTTTTCAGATTGATAAAAATGTTTACATTAAAATGAAGGACTACATTTTAAAAGCAAATTATTGATATATTTAACAATAAAACAATTATAATATACCTTAACAACAGCATTACTCTCACGAACAGCATAAACTCCAGCATCGGATTGACACCATACAAATTCTAATCCTTGACCAAATGTTTTATTTCTTAATGCCATAGCAGTGTAAACTATGTACTCGCCATCACCGTAAACAACCACATAACGTCCGTTAGCGTTATGTTCAATAATTTGTGGATATATTTCACATGTACCCATATCTTTGAAAGTAACTGGAAGACGTTCACCATCCTGGAATTGAAAATAAATTCAATGCGAAGTAATATAATAATAATCCAAAATATATTGAGAATTTCCATCATAAATGCTGTGCATGAGATGTTCATTGATATTAAAAGAAGATTCATTAAGCAGAGTCCTAGTTACAATTCCTCTACTCTGAGTGTACTGTTTCATTCATAAACTAGTATCCTAAGCTTTGATGAATGATACAACTCAACTGACAAAATTAACCTCGAGGGGGGTGTAGCTCCCTAAAATAAACCACCTGCTTCGGTTTGGGCACCCGGGCAGTAACCTAGTCCTCACACAAATCGAATGATTTATGTGGCGCATATCTATTTGGTGCCTTTTTGTACCTATGTTTATGTGTTTGAATAAATAAATAAACCTCGAGACGAGGCCAAGATAATCTTAGCTCTCATTGATTCCCCGACGTGTGTACCTTGTTCTGACTCATCTTGAGTTTGGACAAGAGGACACACCAGGCAAGCTTCTACTATCAATGTATTAGGCGCTCGATATCTTTATCTCGAGCATTTATCAGAAATACAACAATTCAATTATCTAATAACTATATAGTATAAATAATAATAGTCCATCAAAATAATTCCAAGTGTTCAACGTATTCAATACACGTTCCGTTATAACAAGAAATACATATTTCACTGTAATAAAATTAGGTTAACTGTCATTTGTCTGTACAACAATGTGAATCATTATTTGAAATAATTAAAGATGATGTTTGTACACAACAATCCCAAGTTTATAACGTCCCCAATGTATACAGATTAATATCTACATGTACAGTTAGAAACGCAGTTTTTCAATTCCTTCATATTAAGAGAACAATTTTCCCCATAAAAATCTATTTATCTACCTGAATCATTTCACTTCCATCCCCACTGAAGTTCAATGATCGTAAATTAGCTTGAACTAGCTCTGAATGTTTAGCACAAACCAATTTCCCAGATGCATCCATAGACATGGCAGGTTCATCTCGACCCAAAGATATAGCAACAGTACCTTCATCATAACCAATACCAACTATTTGTTTACCACGCTGACACGTCATAGTCCAGACACGTTCTAAGCCATAATTTAATGTTGACTCTAAACGATAAGTGTTAGCGTGCCAAAATCGTACAGTGCCATCTTCAGATCCGGTAAGAATTATCGGCAATTCAGGATGGAATAAAACAGAGCTAAAAAACAGATACAGAAGAAAGGGAACTAGTCACCAACAAACACGTAACTGCACTCCAAGTAATACAATTTAGTGGAAAGATTATTCAAAAGAATAACGGAGTATGAACCATGCCAAATAGGATATATCAGTTTCTAAAGGAAGGGTACACTGAGTGTTGAATTTAATAGTAAACATCTCTATATATAAATACAGCTTGCAGATCGATTTTGCTGCAAACCATTTATCAGAAATATGGACGAGTAGCTAGAAATTTATTATTCTTGATAACATACTGAAACTTATTGTGACAGAGTTGGTGAACTGGTATGCTAGGCGATGCAAAACATAAGGTGAACAGGTTCTATTTAGTGTCATATTAGACAACTGCTGCTAAATAATTCGACTGAGAAATCCTCAAAAGATAAATTAATGTACACTTGAGACGCCCGAACTTATAAGCATCTTAGATATTTCTTTACCAAGCATATATATAGTTATTTTTAGAAATGAAGTTACGCATGGGAAATCTATAATTGACTACCTGATATTTTGAGCATGACCTTCGAGAGTTTGAACACATGCTTTCGTTTGATAATCCCATATTTTCACAGTTCTATCATCTGATCCACTAGCCAAATAAGGTTTATCACCGGATGTGGAATAATCTACACAATTGACTCCTCTCTCATGACCTTCTAAAGTGAAGTTTGGAGTACCTGAGCCCAGGCTCCACACTTTGACTGTATGGTCCAAAGAAGCACTAGCAAACGTGTTATTATCCTTTGGATTGAATGCTATATGCATAACATAATGATTGTGACCCTCAAACACCTGGAATAACGAAATGATAAACACATATCAATGTGAAACATAAATATGATTACTCCAAAATTTGACTTGTATAAGATAGTTCTTGTTAACAAACTTCAACCGCTTCATTTACTGTAATAGTTGTAAAAGAAATAAACGAATATCCTAACATTTCGTTAAATAAGACAGATGTACCTTGGATTATGTGGTAATGCGACGGCAATGTATTTTCCTTTCTAGGTACTACAAGAATACGTTAACGGCCCCAATAGTAATATTAAAATGGTACGAGTGAAACAGAAAAGATACATATCCTGTCTGTCAAGCGTTATATTTATTCTTTGTTGATTTAGTTGCCTTCATTATCGCCTGCTAATACCAACATTACTACAACAATTTCTACATCTTTTCACTCCATACCTGTTACCAATTATATGAGCCTAGGAAATACAACTCTCGATCCCTTCAAATCACATTGCTAAACATATGCTAGACCCCTCTATGTATAGAAGTCACGTCAAACAGGTAGCAAGCTAATAGCTCACAAATTCATGTATTTCTGAGAAATACACAAGAAATACAAGTGCAATTATTTATCAAACTTTAGTTGACAAATGTAATGAGCTAGTATGATTCACTCCACTAGTTTTCAGGAGATTTACTGGATAGTTCGAACAGACTTACAAATGTAGGAACATTATTAAGCCTTAAAGTAGAAAACCCTTTTCCAACTGAACACCACGCGATATTCTGCTTTATATCAGTCAAGACTAAGGAATGGAAACTATGGCATAGTACTACAGTTACAATTTTTATATATATATATAACGAGCAAATACTGTAGTGAACGAGAACACAAGTGAGGACAATCGAATCTATTAGAATACAAATTACAGGACATCTTAGTAAAATCTAAGAGCCATACAGTAAATAGGTATCAAGGTTTGATTTGATAATTTCGAATAAATTGAGCATTGGGTTGATTGTTATAAATAAAAATAATATATTTGTAATATCCCAATGAGTAGAAAATTAGATTTTCTACTCATTGGGATATTACAAATATATTATTTTTATTTACATACAGTAAATACTTCATCTGCACAATGCTAACCAATTATCTCAAACTTGACTGTTCCTTTAACAAATCCCGACCGAAGCTGCTACCTTGACGCGGTGGTCGGGCTTGCCTATCGTGATGACCCAACCGAGCTATATTGGCTGGAACATATGTTCCTGTAGGTTCTACCATGCCAGGCAGGTCGATTGGAGAACGGTAAGACTAAAAGCAGCAACTCAAGGTCTGAGGGCGAAGTCGTACTGCTGACTGTAGAGAGGTGTGACAGCAGTAAGGTGTTTCCCTCGGACAACCAGCATGACAGCGATGCTGCCTTCCCACAAGGAGGGGTGGGGTTAGAAAAGGTCGACCCTAAAAATGTCACACCTCACCTTACCTCACGGATTTCCGTCTCCGGCGGTAAGGCCCTTTGAAGAACGGAGCTAACACGTCAAAAACCTTCCACAAAAAGGCCGTGCGCGACCGGCCTCAAGCAGTTGTCCCTTGGGCTCTGCGGTCACGCTCCCAGGTCGTCAAGACCAACACTAATCCAATTTCCTTTTCAGGTTCCTCAAGAAATACCCTTCCACGGTGTGGGCAGCCGGGAAGTGACATCAGCCCTCATACCCGTAACAGCACAAGAGACCAAGGTGGTCACATTCAAATCCTTCCTACACCTCCTAATACCTCTCTTATCTCCATGACTAACCCTCCTCACGTCTCTTTATCACCTCGCACCGCTAGGGCAAACGATTCGAGTACGTGGAACGCCATTCCTGGTCTCCTGAAACCACGCTCTAAACTACACGTAGGAGCTTTTAACGTACGAACACTTTGCCAAATAGGACAGCAGGCTTCCTTAGCTAAAACTTTAGAATCTCGCGCCATCGATGTGTGCTGCGTCTCCGAAACGCGCATACAGGATCCAAGTAGCGTCATTCATTTGACCTCACCATGCCAAAATAAAGAACCGACTCGATTTACGCTTCGTGTATCTGGAAGCCCTGATTCTGCTTCCCGTGGCCTCGCCGGCGTAGGTATAGCATTGAGTCCTAGGGCAGAACTAGCTCTCTTAGAGTGGATCCCAGTAGACAGTCGTTTGTGCGCTGTCCGACTGAACGGAACAGTAAGAATCCGGAAAGATAGGGACACTCGTCGTTGCCTCTTCGTCGTCTCTGCCTATTCTCCCACTGACTGCAGCTCAGATGATGTAAAAGATGAGTTTTACAGAAAGCTTTCGGACCTTCTCCGAAAAGCTAGCGCTCGGATGTAGTAATAGTGGCCGGTGACTTTAATGCTCAAGTAGGTAAACTAAGCGATAGGGAAAGACACCTAGGTGGATCTTATGGTGTCGTGGCTCAAAGAACAGATAATGGCGACCGTCTGTTGCAGCTATGCTCAGATAACCGCCTGTTCCTTGCAAATACTAACTTTAAGCATAAGGAAAAACATCTTTTAACATGGCGACCCCCTAATTCGTCCCAACGTTGGACCCAAATAGATCACATCGCTATCAGCCACCGATGGAGGGGCTCGATAGAAGACTGTCGCTCATTCTGGAGCACATGCCTAGATTCAGATCATGCTCTAGTGCGAGCGCGTATTTGCTTGCGTCTTACTGGACGTAGGAAAGACGCTGCAAGGAAACCTCTTAGGGCCCTACTTAATGATAGTCAAGCTAAGAGTATATTTCAGGAACAACTAGGAAAACAGTTAGGCAGCCATGTATGTGATGCCCACCCCGATGCAGCATGGAATGATATCCGAAAAGCTGTGGAAACAGCAGTGATATCTGCTAGTAAGGTAAACCAGAAGGTTAGGGAGCAACACTGGATCTCAGCAGCATCTATCGCACTGATAGATGCTCGGAAACTCATTCCACCTGGCTCTGAACATAATGAAGAGCGGAGTCAGCTTAAGCGCAAGCTGACAAGAAGTCTACGCAATGATCGCGAACAGTGGTGGGTAGCGAAAGCAAGAGAGATGGAAAAGGCAGCGGCAATAGGTAATAGCAGACAATTGTTCAGACTCGTTAAGGAAACCGGAATTAGGAACCCGACCGTTAGCGAAACAATCTCAGAGAAAGATGGACATATTATTCATTCTCAATCCAGGAGATTGGATCGATGGGCAGAACACTTTAGGGATCAGTTCAACTGGCCTTCAGCCACACTTCGGTTTCCCACGATCTCTAGTCAACCTGAATGGCAAGTTAATGTAGGTCCTCCGTCTCTTTACGAAGTTGAAAAAGCCATAGGAAATCTGAAACGAGGGAGAGCAGCAGGCCCTGACAGGTTTACTCCTGAGATTTTTAAGGATGGTGGTCCAGTATTAGCAATGAGATTAACTGAGGTCTTAGGTAGAATTTGGGAACTGGACGTAATCCCATCTGACTGGTCTCAATCACTGATTGTGCCAGTCTATAAGAAAGGACAAAAGTCCTCTTGTGACAATCACAGAGGAATCAGTTTGACTAATATAGTGTCTAAAATATTAGCTTCAATAATACTTCGACGCCTAACAAAGCTCGTGAAGAGCAGACTAGAGAAAACCAGGCTGGTTTTCGACCTGGACGTGGTTGTATAGATCAGATATTCACACTACGTCAGGTTCTAGAACACAGACACACATTCAGACGCCCCACAATGGTAGTATTTCTCGACCTTAAGGCGGCATTCGACTCTGTTGATCGTGAGGTTCTATGGCAGTGTTTGTCACTGAAAGGAGTACCAAAGAAGTACATTAACCTTATAAAGGCTCTCTACTCGAACACAACTGGTAGAGTGAGAGCTTATGGCGAACTGTCATCAGAATTGATTACCTCAAGTGGTGTTCGTCAGGGCTGTCCACTCTCCCCATTCTTGTTCAACTTTGTCATTGACGTACTTTTAGAGATAACACTCTCCTCATCTAAATTTCCAGGGGTTGAACTTCTACCGGGAGGTTCACTTGTTGACTTAGAATATGCTGATGACATAGTTTTATTTGGTGAAGACGCTGACAAAATGCAGAGTCTTCTGACCACTCTAAGCAACAATGCAAGCATGTTCGGGATGCGATTCTCCCCCTCGAAATGCAAAATGTTGCTTCAGGATTGGGTTACATCGACACCCGAACTAGTGATAGGGAGTGAAGTAGTTGAGTGTGTCGACCGCTTCACTTATCTTGGAAGTCTCATCAGCCCTTGTGGTTGGTGTGTGACGAAATCTCAGCACGGATACAGAAGGCTCGACTAGCTTTTGCCAACTTGCGTCATTTATGGCGTAGGCGAGATATCCGTCTATCAACCAAAGGACGGGTTTACTGCGCAGCAGTTCGTTCCGTCCTACTTTATGGCAGTGAAACATGGCCGGTAAGAGTAGAGGATATTCGTAGGTTACTAGTATTTGATCATAGGTGTCTTCGAAACATTGCTCGTATATCATGGGACCATCGAGTAAGTAACACAGTTGTTAGGAAACGGGTACTAGGTAAGGATGGCAAATCAATTGATGAAGTAGTGAAACTTCATCAGTTGAGATGGCTGGGACACGTGTTACGTATGCCCAACGACCGACTGCCTCGACGTGCTATGTTCAGTGGTATAGGAGTAGGTTGGAAGAAAGCTAGGGGCGGCCAAACCAAAACATGGCACAAGTCCATGAAGTCACTGACAAGTGAACTGAGTCATGTTGGTAGGTGTAGACTACCTGGTTGGGGACCGCGAGATGATAGCAACCGATGGTTAGAGACCCTGAATGACATGGCTCAAAATCGTTTGCAATGGCGCAGGTGCATCCACTCTCTGTGTTCTCCCAAATTCTAATCTTCTGAATTCTTCATGTCCCTTTTTTCCTCTTTCCAAATTTATTTCACTGGATTATACTCTTTAAATAACATCTCCAAACCCTAATCTTCCCGATTACTGCTTATACTCTTATTACCTCTACCACTACGGGATTTGAATCGACAACTGCATCTCTGTGCTAATGTGGTGTGGCAACTCGAACTGATGTACGTACGTACGAAGTTCTACGTTGTTACTGACTAACTGACTGACCTTTAACAAATGTCAATCAATCATCTCAGACTTCACTATTCTTTCGTTACCACACCAATTATTCTTTGTTCTCGTTCTCTTTTATTCGACCTTCTTAACCTTCTGCCTCAGGACACTTCACTTTCTATTGACGATACATACTACTTATATTTGCCGATACCAGTAGCACACACCACAATACAACTGCCCTACTGTCGTTGGTCTCAAGCTATGTAATCTACTGAATGACAAGAATAAGTTCACACATTGCTATCCAGCAGTAGCTGCTACCTTGTGGTGGCCGTTAGGCTCTCATATCTTGATGATCCAATCAATCCACAATGATTGGAACACTCGTTCGTTTACGTCTTACAGGGGCATAAAGGTCAGCTGGGGAACGCCAAAACTAAAAGCAACCAGTTCACGATTCAACAGAAAAGTCGTACTACGGACTACACTAGGGTGCGACGGCAGTAAAATATTTCCCTCAGATAATCACTATTTACAGCTATGCAATCTTCTTATAATGGATGGAGGAATCGTAGAAGGTCGGCTTTCAAAATAACACATTCCACTTTACTGCATGGATTTCCATCACGGGCGTTTCTGAAAATTAGGAGTATAGAGACTCATTTGTCAACCATTAAGTTACAAATTCAATTCTTGTTCCATAAACTTTATACTGAACGGTAGCATGCTATTTTGAATCCCAAACAATAAGTGTAATTTATTGACAAGAATTGACCAAGAGTAAGACTATTGACTAACTCAATTTAATAGTCGTTCGGCTATACTTAAGCAATCCAATTTATTAATTATTTTTGTATGTTATCCTTTTGTTTTGTGATAGTCTGTGTTGTATATTCGTTTAGCATGAAATCCGTTCTTGAGTTGTGATTATTTAGATGTTTCAATACTCTCTGGAAAGAAAATCTATGTAAAGAGTGGTATTTCTCCCATAAAACATCTTTTGTGGTCACAGGTCAGGCTTGTTTTCCTTTAGTTCTAATAGTTGAGTGCTTACTTAGGGCGGGTCAGGGCCACAGTATTTAAGAGTAGTTGCATCGCATTCACGAACTATGTTGTCTTGCGTTGATATCAGTGTTTGCGTAGCGACTAGAAGTTTACATCGTGTTATTAAATCGATCTTTTCCATCGTCCTAATTGTGTTTACTTACTCCACACTTTCTAAACCATCATACACGTATTAGAATCGTGAAAAATACAGTTGTGGAGTGGTGGACAATAAAAATATTGTCCTGCTACTCATACCCACGTAAGTAAAGTAGGCTTAAATGTGTGAAAAACAATTTAGTCTACTTAATTACATCTCCAATTACCCATTTTACCCTGTATTAAATTGTTTAACAAATCAATTAACAAGACACAATGTTTGCTAGATAAATTTAAAACATACCTGAGCGCATGTCCAGTTATTTTCCCAGTCCCATAAACGTATAAGCATATCATCTGAACATGTAAGGATAAATGGTTGAGTAGGATGCACAGCAATGGATCGTATATAATCAGAATGTGCTTCTATTTGTTGAATTCTTTCAAGAGTATTGTAATTGAAAACTCGCAACTGTAGTTAGAAGTATGAAGAAAATAGTATAAGTGACACAGCTAAAATGAAAAACCTGACAAAGCGCGAAGTTTGCAGTGACAAAAAGCATTCAAAAGCATTTAAAATTTATGTTACCAATTATTCAGTCATTGACAAAACATGATGTGGAACAAACGTACACTAGTTTAAGTCATGGAATTCAGAACAGCAAAGAGAAAACAAGAAGTCCGTAATCATAGTAGTGTTCATGTTGATAAGACAACCTGCCCGGGGAGAACACATGAAATCAATGGGCAAGAAGTATTATAAAATATTTGAAACACCAAAACTCAGAAGAAAATGAATAAACATCTGTACCATAATAAAATCTAATACTAAAATTTCCGACTACAAATGACGGTTATCTGCAGATGATAGTCAAAGAATGAACTCTCAGTAAAAACCTGAACATACGAACTAAACGAGAGAAAAGAATCTGGTGAAATCCACCGTTAACATTTGTGATCCACTATAGAACTAGACACTACTATGTCGATTCACATCGCTTAAAATTATGACAAGTCGAAAACAAAAAGCATTCAGAAGTTAGGAATATAGTTATGTATGGTAATTAATTAATTGAATTAATTAAATGAAACTATTATTAGGATAATAAGAATACAAGTGAAACAGGCGGCCCGTTTCCTATTGACTGAATTGCGAATTTCGAAACTTTGTGGCGTAAATAATTTTGCTAGAATGGTTGCTGAATGAGGGGAAGGAACGGATCATTTTGTATAGAAAAAGTAAACAATAAGCCTTAAGCTGAATGAGGAACCAGCACACTCAAAGCATAAAACCGAAAAAAGGTAAACCAAGCTACTGTATTGCTTTCGGCTGCATACATTAACCCCACTAACTTGTCAGTCAGAAAATAATAACGACTTTGCTATTATTGACCATGATATCATGATTAAAGACTTATTTGAAACCCACCTGCATGTCATCGGAGCCTGTAACTATCCAATTTTTGCGAGCAACAAATTTCGCAGCGCGAACAGGGTTTGTACAAACTTCGATAGTTTTTATCAACTGCTGAGCCTCGATATTCCATATATGCACATTTCCATTATACAGTGCAGCACAAATCCATGGTTCTGTTGAATGTAAATCCACGGATTTAACTCGATCAGATCTTGATAGAAGCTTTCTTTTAATATCAAGCTTCATTGGCATTCTTCAATATCGGAAATAATCCTTAAATTAAAGTACACGTTGGAGCCAAATCAAGAACCCGCTTTACGAAAAAAACTCTAACTGAAATGTTTAAACAACATCAACAAGAACTGATTAGAGAGGAATAAACATACTTTTACTACTCCAGCCTTAGTACCTAGAGGCAGAAGACTATTTATATTTGTCTTCTGACACCTAACTATGCAAAGATAAGGTATATCGCTACGAGTTGAAATGTGTAGTAACACTAGTAAAATGACGGGTTATTGTGAGGAATCTCGTCACTATGGAACACTTTTCTTACCTTCTTAAGATAAAACGACCACGGGATTAATATTAAATACGACCTATTAAAACAATTTTATTAAAGGCTTTTCCAGTTTGAATCCTAAGGGGCATAATATAATACTATCTGCGACAGCTTGATATCACTTAAGTGCAAGTATCTTGTCTTTATAGAGCCATTGAATTCGTTTTCGTAGAACGACAGAATATTTCAGGAGTGACAATGTTCGAAAGTTAGGTCTGTGCATCCGACAATGTTTGCTAATGTGATCCAATGGTCATAACTTATAAACCACACATAGGTGTTTGTTTCAACTTGACTTCCTAAGATATTTCAGTGAATTTCGCGTTATTGCGATACTCGTGAAAATCGTCAGGAATAAGCAGAGTCAATCCCCACATATTTACTTAGTTTTTCAAACCGAATTCCTAATTTAAACCTATACTATAGCAAATTATTGCACAAAATCGTAGAATGACCATCCTATCAGAGATGATTTCTTGATGAATATAAACCGGAATTAAGAATTTGTGTGAACCTTTTTATTTCAAAAGTCTCCTAACACGTCACTGTTGATCCATATCACATTCGATAGCAAAATTTCCCAAAATATTCTCGATAAAGCAGCTTTATCTTTTGTCCTGGTCCTCGTCGCATCGACGAAATCGACAGATAATATGGTATCTTAGATAGATGCAGTTGCGTTTTTGTTTTTTGTAACACCGCCTGCTATGCTAGGAACTGATGTTACGCTTATAAATCCACCTACCATTGCTTCAACACACAGACCTTTTAACCTTTTTCTTCATCTTCTTTTCTGAACTAAGCATCGTGGAGTTAGAATCTTTCAAAATTAAAGAGATTTCAAGGTGCTTAAACCTATATAAATCCGCAAAACTGGACAAAATTAAACCCATAGTCCTGGAAGTATTTCCAGATCTACTATTCTGCCTTCCTACTGATCTCTTCAGGTTTCCTTTAGTCAACAGAAAACTACGCCCTGACTGGAAAATGGGTCCGGTCAAGTCCGCAAATAAATGGAAAAGTAAGCTGAAAGTCCTTGCTCTCTGCGGTCGCAGATGTCATGGAAAGAATTTTAGAAGAATTCCTTCAAAGGAACTGCCAAAAAACCGTTTGTTTATCACTCACAAAACAGTTTTCTCCCAGAAAGACGTCGTATTTCGATGATGACTGTCTGAAATAGCTGTATGCTATCACTGAATTACAACTGTTCTGCTCGACTGAGCTATCCAGACTTCTCAAAGGCATCTAATGGTATTGAGTATCGGACGTTCAGTCTGAAACTTGGGCCCTTCGGCATTAGTGAGGTTTGATGAACTGTAGATATTTACTATTACGAGCCATTAGGGTTCGTCCTCCTCCATCTGAATGGATCTCAAACAAGATGAAACGAGGCTCAGCCTTGAGCCACTTCTCTTATTGTCGTTTACCAACGATTTGTCTAATACTTCAGACTTCCTAACTCTGTTATAGGCAGATTGTCTTATATCTGGAGGGGAACGCTTTGCCCAAATGACATTTCGATTTCCCAAAGAATTTCACACAGAATACACAATGGAACTATCAGAAGTTTCTTTCTTCTCAATACCAGCACGCCCAGAATGCTAATGGTGAATGGCAGTAATACTCTACTCGCCTTTTAATTTTGGTAAAATTGTAGTGTCACATTTTCAGTCCCATAAAAGAGCCTAGGCATCTTTCCGTGTGGGGCTATGTGTAACTTTCCCCACTAGCCTTCGTCTTCAGGCCTCTTAAAATCTGATAACCTAGCTCTGGAATTATTTAAAACGTTCCTCAGTGTTTACCTGAGATTTCATCCGACAAACGCCTATGCACTGTGTTCATTTATCTCGACAACAATATTGCTCTGTTGGAACGTGTTCAAAGAAAGGCAAGCGTCAAGATACTCGAAGTGAAAAACAAACTCTACTCATCTCTCTCGGAGCTCCAAACTTTCAATCGGTTTAGTACAAAGGGATTAAAGGGATATAATGATGATGTATTCGCATCACTCGTAGATCACAGGTTCACCTTAGGAGGACAACTATTAAAGCAGAATGCAAACTATCTTGCAGAAAACTACGTACAAACGTTTTTGTGTCTAAACTCATTAAACATTGCAACTCGTTACCAAAGTCAATAGTTATGGCACTTTTTTAGAACCTTCTAGAAGACTCAATAGTTCCTTAGTTTCAGATGTTATTGAGAGTGATTACCGTCGGTGTAACTCCACAATCACTTCCACTTAGAGTAACCGACACTTATACTCTTCTGATTAAGAGGGAACACAGCAACGGCTACACCCTTTCATACATAACAATGCTTCTGCCGTCCAGACGCAGACCTCAAGGAACATATTAGTTCTCTAACCCCTCTTCAGGAAAAGCGGTAGACTATGGTACCTTCCATGAATACTGCGTTTAAGATCCAAACTACGTTTGGACTGCTGAACAGCTGCCTGGATGAATTAGATACGCGCCCACGCCCGTTTGAAACCAAAACAAAGTAATTGGGTAAAATAGCGGTTCTATAATTTACCATAAATTTAAGTATACATTATTACCTAAACAAATATAACCACACAGCTATCCAACCAATAATTGTTTAATTGATCAAATCTAAACAATCACCACAAATAAATGTTATTCTATCCTGTCTGGATAGATCACGTACAGATTCGTTCAAAAGGTAATAATTGGTCGCTCTATAACACAGAGTGTTTTCAATTCTGGAAGAGTGCTTCAATTCACAACCAAAATGCACAATTCCAGTCAACACAGGTCAAGCAATCAAAAGCAGGAAGAAAACAATGTGGCTGCCGCTCAGACTTAGTATAAGGTAAAACAACATAAGTGCAGTTCGGGAAGAAACATGGAGACTCAGTGAAGGCGTAATAAAATTAAAAACTATAATAAAATACAGATATTAACAATTCAAATGTAGTCCAAAAGTTAACAATGTACAACTAAGAGAATCAACAGGAACAAAGTGCAAGTATATACATGGAGGGATTTTCACAAACACACAAAGCATTCAAAATGGATCTTACACTGCGTGATCCATGAGAGTGTTCGTTACAGCGGAACGATACGGTAAAAGTTATACACTGTAATCAGGTTTTAACTCATTTAGAACTTTTCCTCACATTTAATTAAGATCTCACTAAAAATAAGTGGATCATTAAAACAAATTACATAAGAGTTCTGGCCAGGATTAGGTGCACTTGATATAACCTCTACATCTTTGTAAATGATTTTAACAGAAAAGCATAAATCATGAGAACAACGCATATCAGATAAAATGATATCATAAATCTGATCAGAGTACCATTCCTAGTAGGATCGGAATTACAGAGGCTAGCATTACGCGCAGTGAAATAAACAGTATCACATACTGACTGCATGTGTCCAATCTCACTACATTTAAAGCATCTAGCATTACAAAATACACATGAATTAATTAAATGTAATTTGCCACAGAACAAACAGTCACCATACTTAAGCTCATCTTCCTGACCTGCATCGCGACTCCTCAATGAATTGTTATCTGCATAACCCTGAGTATTCATTAGATTGGGATGACGTAATAATGTAGCGGAATTCTTGATGTTGTAATTGTGTCGAGTCACAGTTGACTATGATCACCACTACAGGTCGACTACATGCCAATTACTAGGTTAGATCCCTCTGTAGGATAAATATTAGAAGGACAGTTGTAGATTGTAGTTAGGATCAATTTGTTGGCAATCTCGTGGTATCGAAATAATACCGAGATCGTGCCAAGGTTAACAAGCGAGACTACCGTGCGTACATGAGCACGGTCAAGGTCCAAAACAACGAAAAGCGTGTTTTTTGGTACACTTAAACAAAAGGGTACAGTAAAGCAATCACTGGTACGTTTGATTATAATAATAAATGTGTAGTGACTCACATTTATCACGAGAAGACGACTGGTTTAATAGAAACAATTATTATTATAACCAACTCTACCAGTGCTTGTTTTAATGTGATTTTGTTTGACTGTACTAATGAAAGCTTTATTTTGCTTCCATTCTTTTACTTACACTTTGATTGTAACTTCGCGCGAATTAGGTTACGTTCTGTAACCAAGCTTGTATTCTGGCACGATCTAGGTATCCTTTCGATGCCACGAGATCGCCAGCGAATACATCTCAATTTGGTCCATTAACTGTCTTCTGGTATTTGGCTTCTCGGGGATTTTATGGATTTATTTGGTTACGTCCAACCTTCGCCTTCTGATCTATTCTGGCACGTGTTTCTTTGTAGCGGTGTTCATAGTTAACCTCAACTCGACGCCACGCTACAAATGTTTCCATTACACCAGTCATGTTCTCTTCATAAAAGTAGGTCACTACGATGTCCTGAGGAATCATTTTATGAAAATTTTCTCGTTCATGACATTAGAAAATTGTACACTTTACATGGTCTAGTAGTAGTTTCTAGAAAGTTGTATTAATAAGGGAAATAAGCTTCTCTGTGAATGCGAAAGTTTTTAATAAGCTGTAGACTTCTTTTTTAATGAATGTAAGGAAATGTGCTGCAATATTAACATCCTCAACATATTCCTTGATCATAATCCAGATTCCAGATCTTCCTATATGAATGCCCAAATTTTCCATCACAGGCCCTATCGTGACGCCAGTTTGATGAGTAGAAGTATTTGAATTATTGTATGAACCAGGAAGTCAGACCAAGAAGAACTAGGTGAGCTTAAACGAACGTATTGTATTTAGAATTCGAAATTAGGTGGACAACAAGTACGAAAAAATCACCAGTTCATACAAACACTAAGCAATCATTCTTAATCTCATATTCCCTTGTGAATGTTATACTCCACTGATACCCGAGTATTACTTATGAATAAGAGGCCTGTACAGCATAATGGAGTCAGAAATCATAAGATACATCTCTCTTATCATGGTTTTACAAATCTGGACTGATGAAGCATCTAACATATTAGTAGCCCTTCCAGGTATGATCAGTGAAAAGTGTTTCCTTTCAACAGTTATATGAGAAATAATTTATAAAATATATGATGAACCAAGCAACAACATGATGTTTTATATCAATAATGTATGTCACCACATTGAACAGAGGACAGTACAACATGTAAGTCGTTATGAAGAATCAGCTTTTCATTGAGTAAAACTGGGAAGAACAGAGAGAGTACACTTACAATCATAAAATCAATAAACCATTCGGAATACATGTAAATACTCAATAAGGAGACTATAATCTACCCGCTTTGAAATTTATTGATAATCACATGAGCTACTGATTTCTACTAAGTAGTATAATACAATATACAGAATACAAGTGAATACGGGAGAAATGAAGTTGATAACAGAATCAACAGTTATTTACGGAAAAGAATGATGTATTAAATAATGTGTTGTTATTGAATATTAGGACCAAAAGTCGTGTATCAAGCATATTGAATGTGAGAAAGTTACCAGTGATGTAATGAAATATTTTTGTTGGAGTTTTGTTTTCTGAGCTGGATGGTTTGGACGTGGAGCTTTAATCGTTCTTCTAAACTTCAAACAGAGGAGAAGTGTTTGAACTTCTCCACATATGGCTCACAGCTTGTCCTGTAGACCTCAATGTTGACTGGTTCTTGTTGACCTTCAATCAATCATTGTTTACTTCTCTGTTTTGATTGTATCTCCCATTGGTTAGATTTTCGGTCCTATGTTTGTTGGTTGATAAATTGGATCGATTTCAACGTTTGTTGATTGCTGATTTACCTGAGTGCCAAGCTTCTAAAAATTCTTCGATGTTTTTAGAACTATCTATATCCAAGATTTCCATATTTTTACAATCGAATGTATGTCCGCAGTTGTCCACATGCATTGATATAAGTGTTATGACTTTATGTCCGGCTTTTCATCACGTGATTTATCCACCAATCAAGATACGACTTATACAATCTCATCGCTGTGCCAAACCAATGACGTTCGACCGGTATGAACAGCCTAGCGTCCTTATTGGTCCTATTTCCGCCTAGCCCATCCACTTGAGTCCAGAACACCAAATCCCTGCTTCCAATATGCCAATCGAATCATTTATTTCAGACATCATACTAGGTTTATATATCGATCAAACAAACTGCAACGCACCATAAAATAGGAAATAACATTAGTACACAATAAAACCAAAAAGTGACTGTGAACGTGGGAGACAGTAGTTAATAAACTGAACATAGGCTTAAGGACACTAAATCTTATAATAATAATCTATAGGTCAAAATAAAGCTTATAATAGGAGGAATATAAATATACATGATCTAATTATTGAATAACTATACCATAAGAATATATAGATAATATCAGTCAATTAATAGTCCTTGAAAGTTACCCGTAATTTAATATTCACTAGGATATAACAGTAAGTGAGAATATGTCATGGAGCTTGACTGCTAATTGATGTTCATGCATGCGAGCATTTCATTTTAGATTGACGATACATACTACTTATATCTGTCATCATCAGTAGCACACACCACACAGGATTCGAGTCCCTCACATGGAATAATGGATGCATACTGCTGAGGAATCCCATACTTGGTCGAAACAACCGTCCAGCGCTTCCAGGTTTTGATGGCGGTTTAGCTTTAAGTGACTCATGAATCCAGACATTAAAATATTCATTTATATGAGAGTAAAGCCTAATGAGAATCTAACCAAGAACAATGTTGTTCACTGACCATATATAACTTTCATTAGAATCCTTTTTTTCATGGAATATCATCAGGTAAACTGTAGTGTCGGTCATTACTTTAAGCCCATAATATATCTTATTCTAGCTTTCCGACATTCCATTCTATTCATTCTTCTTGAGTCATATTTTGACCTTGTCAATTATTCGCTTGTCAGTCTTGATTGAGCGTATATATGTGTGCCCTTCTTATTCCATTAATCACACGTCTGTATCTTTATTTTGTCTGACTATAAATATTGAGTAACGCTTGATTAAAATGGAGTTGGCTTCCCAGCCATCCTCCCTGAGCGTCATTTTGCTCTGTTCTACTGCATTCACTTTACATACAAAATATATGTATTCAAAGGCCATTCTCGTTAATTGACTTATCTAAATTCCGTTATTGACTAACGTGATTTAAGTCGACGATGATATACGAGAAAAGGTGATAACAAACATTCGTACGATCTTGGAGTCAGATCAACGGGTCTCAAAAAAACACTTAACTGATACTTATAAATGGACATTTGAAAACAAAATTTTTTTTGTTGAAAAAATTTTCAAAACCATCCATTTGTTTGTTCATTTTGAAAATTGATATCTCTAACCAATTTCTAACACCCCTCCCTCTCTCTCTCTCTTTTTGTGCGTGTATATGTGTATCTATCTATATATATGTATTGAGTACTTTCTCATTTGTTACCAAAGTGTACAATTGTATATTCCTTTAAAATTAATTCATTTATATTATGTAACATACATATTACACTCCAATGATATTTCAAGTCCTTTTTTGAAAAACAGACTGATAAACATGTGTACATTCATCTATTCTAATGAATAAATAAATAAAAATAGTCGCCATAGTGATGTCTTCACCTTTTAAATGACATAACCATGTAAAAACAAAAAAAACACCCAGATACATATGTATCCATGGCATAAATTATGTAACAGGGTTACATTGAAATGAAATCAAGAAACAGAATAGAAAAATCCAAATTTTTTCTTAAATCATTCAAATTGAATTATTCAATTCACTATGAAGCATTTAATAATAGTTGCTAAGGAAGATAATAATACAAACATAATTCATTCTGAATTGATTGATCAAAGACAAATTGAACATGTTGGAAATTCATTGAATTTTCTAGATCCTCATGGAAAACAATGTTCTAATAAAAATGTAAATAAAAATAGTCAATATGAAGATGAAGTGATTAAAACTGTAAGTCTTAACTATGAGTGTTTGTAATCAGAGAGTGATTTTGTGGAGATTGTAGTCATTTTTAATCATTGAATTCATGAGTTAATTAAAGCTAGATCATCTTGGAAAACCTGGACAGCCGTTTAGTCCTAGTATGATACTCCTCATTGACAGTGCACATCCACGAGATTGGTGAGTTCTGGGTTCGAATCTCGCGAGGCAGGATCGTGGGTTTGCACTGCTGATGAGTCCTATACTAAAACGAAACGGTCATCCAGTGCTTCCAGGTTTCCCGTAGCGGTCTAGCTTTGAATGATTCGTGAATTTAACCATTATTAGTGTTTAGGTTTTGTGATGTGATTGTTTAGTTATAAATATATGGATTTAGAAGTAAGTAATAATAAATATCATTGTATGCAGGGGATTTGTAGATTCGATGAATGTTTTACGTATTGTATTAGTGAAACTTTGACTGTAATTTTCAACAACGTTGGTTATATTGCTAAATAACTTGAAACTATATAATAAATATTACCAAGATGGTTCTATATTCAAAAACTTGACCGTTTAAAACTATCATTGTATCTAACATCGAGTTGCTGATAGCTGGTTACCTTAACCTTTTTAAAATTATTGAAGCTATGAATTTGAAGGGATTTATAATGAATAATCTCTGTTATGTAGGTAATATTCTTCACTGATTGACCTCATTTAGAGTAAAACTGAAAACCAAGAGGTGAAACCAAATATAACTGTTTCGAGTTAGTATAAGACTCCTCAGTAGTGCTTGCATAAGATTTCGCCAACGATCGAACCTAGAACCGTTAGGTCAAGTAAGAAATGCCTAATCAGTAGAACTAATGATTCTTCATCCATAGGTATTACTCTAGAATCAATTAATTTTCTACATAGTGTGATGGTCATTCAATTCTATTAGTGACAACTGTTTCACTCACATCGTGTCTGAAGTTCACTGGATATCAGGAACATCTTGAAATGACCAGTGATCTGACTACTATAGCTTAGTTGCATGGTTTTGCGGGGACTAATGTAATTTGTTGGTTGTACTTGTCACAGTTCTTGACCCAGGTTTCATCCTTGGTGAGGTCGTCGGTGAGTAATGATGAAGAGTACCATACGGACATCCAATTTTCCCTGGTATTCATTATCATAACAAACTAGGTCAATTTGTGACGAAAGTATACTAAAACATTTCTATAGGTTGTTTAACATATGATTAGTAGGTTCTTTTTCCTTAGACTTCTCCAGATTTCAAATAATTGAACAAGGTAAGGATTTGACATCTTTGAAAGGTACCACTTTAGCGGTGTTTAGAGTAGATGCACTTACGATAGATAACAACTGCCCTGCCTTGACAGTACGAAATTTAATGCGATTATGAGTGACTTTGGTCTGAACAGGAGTTTCCTCCTCTTTCAGTCCGTCGAAAACTAGAGTCTCATCCTTTTGGTCAAGGATAAGAGACCAGCTAACGATATTGGTGGTTAAACTTGTTGTTTTCTCCTTGTCTGATGTCAGATTTACTGAGTGAACATCGTCACTCTTCAACTGTTTCTTCAGAGTGATGAGCTCCAAGGCTCCATTTTAAAGAATCACTTCACTAAAGCAACATTCTCTACATAGCTATGGTGAAGCCGGTTTGCAGAGACGTTTGTACACGGCCGGTTATAGATTAGCACATATTCTGTGAAATCATCTCTTGCACCTGTCATACTGAATGCCATTATCAACGATCTAACACATCGATGATCTTGAGTCAACATTCTAACCAGTACGATGTTGACAAGACACAAAAAGGTGTGAAGGCTAACCACAAAAATCGATAAAACGATAGCAACATTAAGTTTATTATGAAAATATATCAAAATAGTAGCTTCGCCTAGTGATATTTAAAGCTAAAAAAATCTTCGAAAAGACTAAAAAACCCAACCTAATGAAGAAAATCGAAAAAACCTCAATAAGTATGAATACTCAGATACACAGAAACAAAATATTTCAACTAACGTACATTGAAATACTACAACCTATAAACATTATTTTGTAATGCGGCGTCGAGTCGCAGTTGACTATGATCACCACTACAAGAAGGTTGCGTACCAGATATCAGAAGGCGAGTGAAGGTTGAAGCAAGATATATTTGTTGGCGATCTCGTGGTATCGTTATAATGCCGAGATCGTGCCAAAGGAGTGCAAGCGGAACTACTGAGTGAACGTAAGTTCGTGTAAGGTAACAATCAACGGAGGAAAGAATGTCTTTAGCACAGTTAAACAAGCAAGCTCAGTAAAAAAAATCACTGGTACAATTGGTTATAATAATAACAATTGTTTCCATTAAACCAATCGCGTTCTCTTGATAAAAATGGGTCACTACAATTTCACAGACTCAAATGTCACCAAAAGCATTAGATTGGATTTATTCATTCACTACGATTCATCTACATTGTCTTGTACACAGTTACTATGTCACTATACGAAATTCATCGTCTAGTTTCGACTTTATATTTATTCAGCTGAGATGAGTCACTGACTCGATTTTCCGTCGAAGTCTGTTAACTCAGTTCAACTGATAACAAAGAGGAATTTTTCAGACAAAATTAAATGTTGAAATGCAGTAGAAAATCTGAAGGTTTTCTCAACTCAGTTAATGAAATGAGAGTTGGTTACTCAAAACTAGTGTTCATGTGAGAAATGGAAGTAGTTGAGTTAGTGTATTAACTAGAAATCCTCAAAATAGTGCAGTTTACAGTAAATAGAAATAGGTGAGCACAAATGAACGTATTGTATTTAGAATTCGAAATCAAGGAGTCATTAAGTACAAAGGAATCATTAGTTCATACAAATACCACAATGCAGTGATTTGTTAATAAACATGATCAAAATGACTATACAGACACAGGAAAATAGGCTCTTGTTCGTTAAAACTTATAAATGGACTCGTTTATCTTAAGGACAAAGTTAAAATTAAACTAATCTGACCACTTTGTGTGCATAGAATTCGTCTTTCTAGCTATCTGAATATTGTATGATTTCATATGATAACATTATCAAATAAAGTGTGTTTATTTTAACCTAGTAACCAGTGTTTAATCTATATTTTTGTAGTTTCATTTAAAGGGCGTTTATTCAATACGCTGTTGGTTAGTCGTAATCAGTTTCATAACAATAGCTTATGTAACCAAGACAAACTATCTGGAATATTCAAATAAACCAATTGTAAAACAGACTCAACATTGTTTCGTTTGTGACAATTATGCAAGTTTGTCAGACAGTTCTGGTTTTCGTCCTGGTCCAGGGACCGGATTAGCATGGTTTGGTGGGAAGCCAGTAGTTGGTGGTTGGACTAGTATGTCCAGTAATGGAAATCATTAAGAAATGGACTGACTAGTTTACAAATATCAAGACTGTGTTCAGAAAGAGTAAATCGTTCGGCAATCAAGTTGCTTATCGATTCAGCAAATTATGGAAAGTGTGAAAATATAAATTATAATGGTTGTGCTAAAATTGTGACAAAAAGTTGGAGGGTTCGACCACAACTCGGCATACCATCATTGACTGCTGTAGTTGTATCACGTACATGTGCTGCTATTCCAGAAGGATATGGTGTCGGTTGTTTTAATTCAGTTGGTGGTGCTGGTATGCGAAGAACTATATGCTATTGTCGAGGTAACTTTTGCAATTATTCTATTAAAACCAAAGAAATTAACAAATATTTTATTATTATTCTTGTTTCAATAATTATCACTTTTCAGTAGGGTCATTCTTCGCTTATTGGTTTCATCAACTAGTCTTCTATTAGATTATTCAATCAAATGAAAATGTTCTTCATCAACAGTAATTTTGTTTGATATTATTCTATTTCATATATCTAAATATTGAGCTAGTATTATAAAAACTCCAAACCATTAATGGTATAACTGTGACAGTCTTGTTTTATACACCCTTGAATATGTTGTGAAATTTGACGGATTATAAGTTATATAAACTGTACTTTACTTGTGTGCATCATAGTCTTATATTATGGATGATTGAATATTTACCTGAATGCTAGAACACAGTATACTATGGTCGTCTGTCATGGGGGTCAAATAAGTACACACTTCCTGCCTGTTACTGATAGTCTGACGTCTTTATTTGCCTAGTTGCTCTCTCTAGTTCAGCTGGTTTCCTAAAATATACGTCTTCATAAAATTTCGTGATTTTCTCTTTACTTCATTCTGTTTGTTAGAAAGTGGTAGAAACATTTGAGTGATTATAAGTTGAAGGTTAATGAAGAAGAACACTTTTTAAGTCACGTTAAATCATAAATGTACTGTAGGATCCAAACTACGTTTGGACTGCTGAACAGCTGCCTGGATAAGTTGGATACGCGCCCTCGCCCGTTTGAAACCAAAACAAAATAATTGGGTAAAATAGCGGTTCTATAATTTATCATAAATTTAAGTGTACATTATTACCTAAACAAATATAACCACACAGCTATCCAACCAATAATTGTTTAATTGATCAAATCTAAACTACAATAAATAAGAAAGTTGATAAAGAATGCAAGAAAATTACCAATCACCACAAATAAATGTTATTCTATCCTGTCTGGATAGATCACGTACAGATTCGTTCAAAAGGTGATAATTGGTCGCTCTATAACACAGAGTGTTTTCAATTCTGGAAGAGTGCTTCAATTCACAACCAAAATGCACAATTCCAGTCAACACAGGTCAAGCAATCAGAAGCAGGAACCAACCAAAATGGCTGCCGCTCAGACTTAGTATAAAGTAAAACAACATAAGTGCAGTTCGTGAAGAAACATGGAGACTCAGTGAAGGCGTAATAAAATTAAAAACTATAATAAAATACAGATATTAACAATTCAAATGTAGTCGAAAAGTTAACAATGTACAACTAAGAGAATCAACAGGAACAAAGTGCAAGTATATACATGGAGGGATTTTCACAAACACACAAAGCATTCAAAATGGATCTTACATGTAAATCTATACATTATCTACTAACTATTAGATTTAATATATTCTTTAGTATTTCTTGCGTAGGTGAAACGAATTCTTGCTGTTATTACTAACTCTGTAGGGCGATCTTTTTGTCATATACTCACCATCTATAGCTCAGATATGGAAATAATCAAGAGCGCATATCGTTGGTGAAAAGCTAAAGAGATTGCCCTCAATTTATGGGTCGGAAACGTATGAATGAAAGTACGAACCATCTAAGTGCGTTGGCAACGATTTCATAAAGTGTCCGGGTAGGAAACAGAAAATCGGTTGTGATTCTTAATAGAATCTGTAGTGGCATTGAACAATAGCCACACAATCCACAAAGCTGTGAACATGAGACTACTCAGAAAATAGATATTCAATATTTAACGCGGAGAAATACCTAACAATGGAGAAGGCGCGAACAAAGAATTGAATGGACTGGATTTGATCGGATGGCATGGCTCGGCCATGCAGGCGTGGTCCATCTAAATGTTACCTTATATCTTCTATTCATGTTAAATATATTGTTCCTTCTCTAGCCTAACGTCGTTCTACATCATGTATTAGTAATTGATACGATACAATGAGTTGGTGTAGTCGATGGTGTGACTTCCACGTAAGATCTTATAGATTAGGCAGTTATATCATGACAAATATACAAATTTAGGATTAGGTCTATTATTAGGGCAGTACTAATATCATAGTAGACCATAATTCTACAAATCAACGTTAAAATATTTTATCAAGTAGGCACAATCACTAAATGACCGTGTGCAACAAGGATTAACATATACTATTCAATTTGTGAACGATCCTCAATTCGAGCGTTCGGTTGAACTAGCTCTCCACTAATATTATTTTGTGAGTGCTATCCAATGTTTTTTTCCCAGACACATGTTCAGCTGTGGTTACCACGTGTACTTATGAGTGTTATTAACTGGCTGGTTTTCAAAAATATTACAAAACATTGACTGAACATGCTAAATAGTGTTTTTTTCTACTATTTGCAATGAACGTGTAACATTGTTCGATAGGAATAAGGCATTACCGTTATAAATAAGATTCATTTGATAACAGTCAAACTCTGACTTACGGAAAGCTTAAATAGCGGCGATCGTCATAGTGGCTTATTTATACAATATAGAAGGCAACTTGGAGTACTCTGTTGGAGTTTGATTGAGGTATTCTAAGTAATTGTTAATACAATAGACATACCTGGAAGTGTTTTCCAGTGGCTTCTGAAATCCTCTACTAGCCGTGATTAGTGTAAACGGACTGATCAACGTGCTCCATCATCATCTTGCCTCTAAGCTGGAACAGATTCTTGGGATTTTTTGTTAAGGCCCACTAACATCGGAAAGATAGCTCTACGTTTTTGGCCTATCTACCGTCTTGGCAATAGGGATATGATATCAACATTTAAGTGGCCGAGAATCACTACATGTAGCTTATGTTAAACTCTGGAAGTCTTTCAATAGACATACGCCTATCTAGTTTCTACAGGAGATGAAGACTCGATGACCAGTTCAAACGATGTGTAAATGAGCAGGAACTTTCAGTGACAGAGGGTGCTACTTAAATTTGTATTTTCACCTCAGACATTTTAATAAAAAACGGCGCCTCAGGGCGTAGTAACTGCTACGGGAGAACTGAAGACATTTGACTAATTATAACCTTTGTGTTAAATATTCTTAATTTCACTGTGTTCTTGGATATTTTTGTTTTACGCAACTTCTGAACCTGTTTGTTCATGTTATTATTTTCGGACATTTTGGTTTCTCTTTGTCTTTGGTTTGGTATTTGGGAGTCCTTGCTCCAGAAACCTACAAAATTGAAGGTTTGTTTCGGTAATTGTTATAATTATTGTTAGAACGACATTTGGGTTGACTATTTGTACATTATGAATAAACTTTGCTACCTACATTGGGGTTTGGTTCTATTGTTAATTTGGGTTCGTAAATTGCAAGCAGATCTATATACCGTACTTCAATAATGGGAACGAGCAAAAACTTGAGCGTAACAGTAACAAATCCACGGACCTCCATTATCCATTTGAACGTGTAATGATAACCTGTTGGTGTTCCACTGAAATGTTTGGTAATAAATTTGAGATCGAATTCGAAGTGACAACCATTCATCTCTTATTCGACCAAATATAGTATACTATCTCCCACGTCATGCTGTAAGAAAGCATAAGGAGTACCCACCGAGCCGGCTTTTAACTGGAAATGAAGTGGCCAAGCCCGAGTCTCATGAAGCCAGGAATATATTCAAAAGAGACACCACTGGGTCTCGTACAGCGTATAAAATGTGGTTGGCACATAGTACCTAAAATGGGTTGAAAGGAGGACTAATAAAAGTGGAGTTTCCTTCTTACTGCTGTACGAGGACTTAGACAATAAAAAAAGTTGGTCCCGAACTTTATTAGAATTCTGATATGTAATCACCCTTGTAAGTGTTATCGTTAACGACGTAAATAGACATACTATCGAGATATTATCTGCGACGTCTGCTTATCACAGGTGATACAAACTTACAATTACATACCAACCTAAAAATAGCAAATCACTGTACTATACACACTCTAATGTTGCTATGTCATGTATCATTTATAAACTATCTATTCAGTTCTTTCACTTGTTTTTCTCTTGAGGTAAGGTCTTAGTTGGCAGGAAGGCAGGTTGAAGTAGTTTCATTTTCAAAAATAAAAACAGATATTTAGTGTATACGTACTGATTTAAATGGTTCAAATGGTTGTGGACGGAATAGAAGAAGCTTTCGCTTAACAGGCTTCCGTGTCTAGTAGCAGGGGATCACCAAATCCTCCAGGCAGGAACCTAGGTATGTTAACAATAAAAGAGGAAAAGAAATTGGTAAATCATAGTGTGATGCTGTCCTTGGTCCTTAAGAATAGGTCAAGTTGCCTCTTGAAGGACTCCTGAGAAGTCGCTTGGACTAGCTCGGCTGGCAGCGAATTCCAGCTTTTGACAACTCTTAAGGAGTAGAAGTTGTGTCTACATTCCGTCTTGCTATGTTGTGTTTCCAGTTTCTGGGTGTTACCCCTTAGGTTATTATTCGAACTAAGCTTAAGTAGGTGTTTAAGAGGATGTCCAGAAGTGTTAAGAATACTATAAGCCATTAATAAATCACCTCTAAGACGCCTATATTCTAATGGGTAAAGGTCTAGTGAACGGAGGCGTTCTTCGTAAGGCTTAGATTTGAGTCCTCGAACTGATTTCGTGGCTCGCCGTTGGATACGCTCCAAAGTGACCTTGTCCTTTTGGAGTGAGGGGGGAGTACTATGTTTCCGTACTCTAAATGGGGACGGATGAAACTATTGAAGATTGTGTGGAAAGTTCTTCCGTCAAACTGTCCAAAAATGCGCTTCAACGTTACCAGTGCAAGGTTTGCTCGGAAGGCATTTTTGTCACAGTTAGCGTAAGACTTTAAATCATGGGGCACCAGGACTCCTAAATCTTTTTCGACTTGGGATACTACTAGAGAGGAGTTTCCTAAGTTGTAACTGTAGTTTGCAACATGTCGCAGATGGACTACTTTACACTTTGAAGTGTTAAAGGTAAGTCCGTTATCGTCTGCCCAACTTTGAAGTCGAGTCAGATCCTCCTGAAGTGCCTGTATATCGTCTTGGTTGCGTATCTCTCTCCAAAGTTTCACGTCGTCGGCAAAAAGTAATAAGTCTGACGTTACCTGTTGAGGAAGATCATTTATGTAGATCAAGAAGAGAAGAGGCCCTAGTACTGAGCCCTGGGGGACCCCACTAGGACATTCCATAGCCTGAGATAAAGTGAAATTAACCCTAACCTTAAAGTGTCGATTTTTTAGGTATGAAGTAAGCCAATCGATTAGAGGTGGTTTGATACCTAGTCGTTTGAGCTTGTTGATAAGACACAAGTGGTTAACCTTATCAAAAGCTTTTGAGAAATCAAGGTAAATGACATCAACCTTTCCCTTGCGATCGAGGATGCTTGTCCATCTGTCCACCGCAGTCAGCAGGTTGGTTATACAAGAGTAACCCTTCCTGAAACCATGCTGTTGGGGTGAGAAGAAATTTAAGGACAGTAGATAGTCATTTAAACCGTCGCATATCAGGGACTCCATGAGTTTTGAAGGTAATGACAGAAGAGCCACCGGCCGATAACTTGAAGGTTCATTGCGTCGACCACCTTTGAAAATTGGTGTGATGTGAGCCAACTTCCAATTTTCCGGTAATTTGCCTCGGCTAAGCGAGTGTGAAAACATCACGCTAAGCGGCGTTGCCAGGATTGAGGCTGCCTCCCTCAGTATGGCAGGATGAACCATATCCGGGCCAGGAGAAGTGTCTAATCTTAAGTGCTGCAATTTCCGGAACACCAAGTCAGCGCTTAGGTCCACTTCGGAAAGTCCTGTGGAATTGCAGATGAAACTGTCGTCAGTAAAGTTGATGTCAGCCGGTTGAAATGTTTGAGAGTAATGTGCCGCCAGAAGGTTAGCGGCGTCGCCATCGTTGTTGGTCGGGCCGTTAAGACCTACCAGTTGAGAAACTCCTGTTTTGGCTTGACGAAGAGAGGCTGCATAACGGAATAGGCTTCTAGGGTTAGAGGCGAATTTGTCCATAAGCTTTGTTTGGTACTGAAGCCTGTCTTCTCTTATAGCCTTCGTGCATATGTTCCTGATATGTTTATATTGCCTATACGCTCCATCGTTATTAGTTCGTTTGTATTCCGCCCAACAGTGCCTTTTGCGGCTTAGCAGGCGAAGGGTACGGTTCTTGATTACTGTAGGTGGCTTGCAGCTTTTGGGAACCGTTTGAGGAACTGAATGGTTTGTAGCACATAAGAGCGTGTGCAGTAAGAAGTCCCAATGACCATCCACATCGAGTTGAGGGTGAACATCCCAAACCACCTGTTGTAGATAGTCATGTAGAGCTGGCACATTCAGCCGTTTAAAATTCCAACGCAAATTATTGTTGGGATACCTTAGCTTAGTTTTGATGACAAAACTGAAGGCTATGACGGCATGATCGCTCTTTCCCAGAGGAGCCAGGATTGAGAGGTTGTCGACTAGGAATTCTTCGTTAGTGAATACACAGTCTAAGCGCGATGGTGTCTGACTGTTTCTCCAACGAGTTGCCGACCTCACATTTTCATATAAGCCCAAGTCATCGATGAGGTTGAAGAACCGAGCTTCAATTGAGTTGTCGCCTCCAGTGTACGTGTGTTCCGCGAAGTTGACTCTAGGGAGATTAAAGTCCCCTAGAATCAGGATGTGTGTGAAACCGAGACGGATAGAGCGGGATAGTCCTTCCAGCATACGACTATCGTACTCGATGTCGGCAGTTGGCTTCCTGTAAATGACTCCGACTAGACACCTCGAAGTACTAGACAATCTTACAGAGCACCATATGGATTCCTCAAGATTGTTAAACTCGAGGTTGTGAACTTGGTGCACCTCCAAGCAAGAGCTTATGTATATGGCTACTCCGCCCCCAATTCCTGTTTTTCTGTCGTTGCGGAACAAAGTCATCCCAGGTAATGCTAACTCTTGGTCCGAGAACTGAGAAGATATCCAGGTTTCAGATATTCCTATCAGATGGGCCTTATTAGCGTTGCTAAGTTCACGTAGTTCATCCAGTTTGTTTGGTAGACTCGCGGCGTTCATATATAAGCAGTTTATGCTTTCAATTTGGAACGCGTGAGCTTCGTCCTGTTTTTCTGTATGAACCTTATGTGAATGGACAGGTAGCCCACCTATATGAGGTTTGCCGAGGTGGTAGGCCCTGTCCTTTACACGTTTTTTTATCGTTTAGACAGTCCACAAGTGGAATGGTCAGCTCCAACTTGCCTTTGTGTTTGGTCCTAGCTTCGTATGGCCTATCCGGGTGCATGTGGATTCCAGGTGGCAATCGACGTCTGTTGGCACGAAATGCTTCCAGAACTGCAGCCGCCATGTGGGAAGATGGGAAGGTTATCTTCATTAGACGAGGTCTAGGATCACCGTCCTTCTTGGCTAGTCTCGTCACATGCTGAGTCAGTATGTGTTTGAGCCTCAAGGACTGTTTGATGAATTTCCATTCCCTGATGTCAGAATTTGATTGAGTAGGGTCTGCATTTTCCGGTATACCTTGCACAATTATGTTTCTTCCGCGGAAAAACTTCTCGCGAGATTCTTTAGGGATGTTCCGTATGATATTGCGCTCAGAGTACGGTATGTCGGGCAATATTCTTACGTTACCATCTGATTTCAGCAAGTGACTTGCTAGCAAGACGTCCTCTACGTCGGTAGCATTCTTAAGTGTTACTCGGAGAAGCCTCGGGTGATTTAGATGCTTAGAATCCTTTCCTCGAGTGAGCCGGGTGACCGTCAAAGGCTCTATTCTAGGAAGTTCGAGCTTCTTGTTCAATTCACCCCAGAGCATCCTGTCGTTTTTGTCCTGCAGACTGAGAGGAAGGTCAGGATTGTCAACGAGGTTCATGATAATGAGAGAATCGTCACGAACTGTTGTTAATTTACCAGGTTTCACGATGGGTTCAGGTTTAATAACTTGTTGTTTGGAGGTCAGTGCGCGTTTTTGAATCTTGGGCTCTTTATTGACCGGACGAACAGTCTTGGGGGTAGACTGTGCGACCAAATCACCAGTTATTTTCCGTGCAGCAACACTTGGGTTGCTCGGCTTAGGCGGTGATGCCTGGTTCTTTTGGGCTCTCTTAACGTGGGTCGAATCACCTACAGGGTTTTTGGGAACCACTGTTGTGTTCAGGGACCCTGAGCTGGGAGACCCGAGTTTGCTTAAGGAGTCTAGTACCGTCGACGTAATGATGGTGCTGAGCCTCGACACGTCATCATTAGTGTTGACGGATGCTCCATCGGTGGTATACCTACCGGCATCCCTATTTTTGTATCCGTCGCACGCTCTTGTTTGTCTACCGTTTTTTTTCTATCGTTATCCAAGTTAACTGACAACTTGTTCCGAAGACCTGTCAGTAGGACAATGATGTTACTCAGCAAGACTACAGCGTCCGTGCTGCACGTGACACACACCCACTTTTGCTCTGACTTGCTGAGTCTGTTGTAAGCAGTTGCTGTCAGATCTGTGCATGCTTCGTGGAACCAACCTTCGCAGTTGTCGCACTGCATGCCAGTTGTAACAGTGATTCAAACTAGTATATATGAGGTAGTTTCTATTAGAGCTCACTATTCTTTTCAATTGTAGCGGTAAATAAATCCCAAAAATAAATAGCTCTAAGTTTTCGACATTGGATGCTGACCAGATTGGTTTTAGTGGACTCATCTAGCTGAAGGCGCTCGGTCATGCATCCGCACCAAATCACGTGTGGTAACGCTGTGCTCAACATCTACCGCAATCGCTAGCCAGATTAGATCAGAGAATTCCGATATATTGGTAGTCGCCAAATACACTCTTCCAATCTCCTCGACTCTGTCTTTTGATTTCTCTGGGTGGAACGAATTATATTAAGTGTTGCTGGTAAAAGCGTTGTCAAACACTTAATACCTGTGACATGTTCACAATCACAGTGTCAATGAGATACAGCAGAAACAGGTTCTAGAATAAAAACACTTGGAAGCAACCACAGTTCACAACTTAGAAATAACCGCACCACTCAGCACAGAAGCATATAAAGAGTTCTATGTTTTTTAAACCATTACGACTGGTTGTTCAGTTTCCAGAATAGATAGAATTTTATTAAGTTTTCAATAGCGATCGCTAAAGTAGAATGATATTGAATTAAACAATGTGCAATAATTTAGTACAATACGACGATTGAAAACAAATTCTAAATACATATATTACGAACCGAATTCACATAGAATATTACTAGCGATTGAGTACTTTAAAAGTTAATAACAGCACTTGATGATAGAATTCATCAGATCTCCGTTTCATATTCGTCCTCCTCTGACTACAGTGTTGCCTGGCCACACAGAAGTAATGAACGTTCATTGAACAGAATTTAGTGAATTTAAAGGAAGTTTAGAAGTATCAGTATGAGTCAAACCCTGACGAGTTACTTCACATAACCTTTGATTGGTAAATATTCGTTTTACCAGTTTCCAAAACCTTCTCGGAGACATTCAGAAACAGTTACATGTATTTGGTGTCACATAAATCCAGGATTATTACAGAGCTTAGAACATTTTTTACGTTCAACATAATGAAGTAAAATAAGTATATCCGTTTTATAGAATGCTAGTTTGGGTCGCACATTCAAAACAGCCAATAGAAACTCAGTCTCAGTTTTCGCCTGCTAGGATCCCAACATCTGTATGAAAGCATGTCAAAATTAAGACAGTCATGTCTTAAATTTCCTCGTGGCATCCGCTCTGTTTATTTTCTGGTTGTAAACGGTAATATTTAATCCTCTGTATGATTGAATAACCATTTTTTAGCAATCCCCAAGAGTAGAGTTGTGAGAAGCGTTTTAGTGCGCTCCGTGCTTGCAATCTTTGCCAGTCATTTGCTGTTTTTGGAGCTCTATTTGGTATTACCTTACTTATTAGGAGACGAGAAATACTTAGCATACAGCATCTTGTTGTTTATATATGCTTGTTTTTGTTCGAGTGTTACATTGTGTATTTATAAAGACCCAAGTATTCGTAGCCTACTGTTATCGTCTAAGTCGAAACCAGATTGGACTTATTGTCTTACATGCCAAACTTTACGACCGCCTCGTGCTCACCACTGTTTTGACTGTGCTGTATGTGTTCTTCGACGTGATCATCACTGCACTGTTATAGGTAAGATATGTAGAGTTAATTTTTAACTTAAGTTGGGGAAATGATGTTTACCAATGCCTTGTGCTATTAAAGTTGCATTGTTTAAGGGCCATGAGATAATCATTTACTAACTTGATTAGTATCCTGTTTAAGTTTCTTTCAAAATCAACGATCTTGATTAGACACCCATTTGACAATACGTGATAACATCGGGAAGTGTCTTGCTATAAAAATCTAATAAAGTGACCCATGTAAATACACTCTAGTTCTAAACCTTAGTATATTCAAAGCGAAGTATCAGACGTTCCTTAGGTTCCAGTTTATGTACTTGAAATATTCCCCTAGAAGGTTTTAGGGCGAGACTCTAATTTAGCGACGACCTTTGAACGAATCTAAAATGATCTTGACAATTATCAGCCAATCAGAAGACAGTTAGTATAAAGTGAAAATATATTGTAAGTAATGAATTACAGTGGATATTCTTCTTTTACATGATTTAAAAACTTGTTAAGTTTTGATAAAGGCTCAGAACTTCTGAATTCATAATGCATATGGTATAGAAACTCGTCCATAGGGTTAGGGTTGTAGCCTAGGGTTAAGGTTATGGTTAGGGTGCTAACATGCGATCAGTTTACAACGGATTTTAGAGGTTAGGGTTCCCAGACAACCAAAAATAGGGGAAATAAAGGCGAACAAATGGGAAATATAGGGGTAAATGCTTTGGTAGCGAAAGGGGAAATAAAGGGGATAACGCGCCAGAATGTTGCCTTTTTCGCCTGTCCGGGGAAATAATGCGGATTTTCCCCTTTTTCGCCGTTTTGTCGACAAATTACCGGCTTATCGCCCAAATAACCTCTAATTAGAGGTTAAGTTTAGGGTGAGGGTTTAGGTTAGGGTTGGGGTTGTAGCCTGTCAATAAACACCTCTTCTCTAAAATCCGATGTAAACCGATCGCATGTTAGCACCCTAGCCCTATGGACGAGTTTCTATACCATATGCATTATAAATTCAGAAGTTCTGAGCCTTTATCAAAACTTAACAAGTTTTTAAATCATGTAAAAGAAGAATATCCACTGTAATTCATTACTTACAATATATTTTCACTTTATACTAACTGTCTTCTGATTGGCTAATAATTGAAATTGCTCAAACGCTTCTCATTGGCTCGTCCCTAAATTAGAGTCCCGCCGTCCCATCTGTTGTAACCTCTCATTAATCACCTCCTCTCTAAAATCCGCTGTGAACCGACCGTATGTTAGCATCGCGTGTTGAACTTGGCTTTGTGACCTTGAAATTGCTCAAACGCTTCTGATTGGCTCGTCGCTAAATTAGAATCTCGCCGGTTTTAGTATTGGTACGATGTTATTAGATCTGTCCAGTAATTATGACAAATCTACTTCTTTTTCTAAACTGTATTTTGCTTACAGTCCCTTTATTACGATCACATACACTCATTTGTATCTGGTTGGTTCTCTCTCCCTGGTAGTTTTTTTTTCAAAATTTCGGACTAATAAACATCTATGCAAGGTTTATTTGTAGATATTGTCAGCCGGTCAGTCAACTGCAACGTAGGACCAGGCACATATATCCATCGGCTTAAGTTGTTATACCTCATTAGTACAACAAGACGAACACCAAATTCATCGAAGCAGTTACTTCAATGGTATTAAAAAAACATTCCACATAAAGATATGATACAGGGAGAAAGATTTAGTTCATGGAATCAAAGGTATGAAGTAATTCTAATTTCATAGTTTAAGGGAAGACAAAGAGTGTAATACCTACTCCATTGTGATGGATTCTGGGCCCTGCCACTCAGAGTTTCCAACCACTGGTTACGATAGTCGCGCGGACCCCAACCAAATAGTCTGCATCTACTAACATGACTTAAAACAGAATTTAATGACTTTATGAACTGTCACATTTTGGTCTGGCCGCCCCCGACTTTCTTCCATCTGAGTAGATATTCTAATCCATGCTCCTAATTCTGTAATTAAATCAGTATTTTGAGATCTACAGTTTAGATTTACATTAGTCTTCTCAACCTACGTATATATATGTTTCTCGCGTTTGGATTAGAACGCCCTTGTTATTTACTTATTGAAATATACGTTTGTACTTCATTGTTTTGTTGTGTTCAGTCACATGAATTGTGACTTCGAATGATTATACGAGATACTCATGACCACTCATATGGATTGTTAGTGTTTTGACTAAATATTTAAAAGGGTGGGAATTTTTTTGGCCCATTTATCGTTACACAAATATAGAAAACTCACTTTTATAATCTTCATGTTAAAATTTAGTACTGATTAAGGACAAATAATTGCTGAAACCAAGTACATTTCAGTTACTAAGTACAGGTTTATTTAGTAAGCTCTTAACTACACTTATCGTAAAAGGTAGTTTAAGAAGTTTTGTATTAGAGAACTATTGGTTGAAGACCATGTTTCTAGGTAATGAGTTCATAATTCCGTTATCAGTGTTAATTTGCAGTAAACAATTTCTATATCGAAATTCTAAAAGTTACGTGATACGGCCATTTAGCTTCTTAGGGTAATCAGTTCTTAAAAATTCCATATAGTTAGTCTCTTTTGATAAATTTGAATAATGCGATGATAACCTTTGCCTTCTCATCGCATTATCCAACTTCTTAAGACTACTAGTTTAGACTTGTTCATGGACTGTGTTCATAAACTTAGTTGAAATGCAATGAATTGGATTTAAGGCTAACTATAACAATACAATACAAACTCGTAAATCTACTAATTTTTATGTGTGAACTTTATAGAGGAATCTTAAATAACTGACCGGAAACTATATTATATAACCATATATTTTCCCGAGTGTTAAGCTTCAATATCATTTCATAAAGTTCCCTCAAACCCATCCACCTTTTTCGAACTACATTCTTTAGTGATGGTGGAGAAGATTTGTAGCTCAGGTGGATGATTTTGGTGGAGTTTTGTTCTCTGAGCTGGATGGTTTAGTCGTGGAGCTTTCATCGTTCTTCTGAACGACATCATCAGCACAAACTTCAGATAGAAGTGAAGTGTTTGAATTTCCCCATGTGTCTCAAAGCTTGTTCTGTGCACCTCAACGTTGATTGGTTCTTATTGATCTTAAATTTGTCGTTGTTTACTTCTTTGTTTTGGTTGTGTCTCCCATTGTTTTGATTTTTGTTCTTATGTTTGTGCATGATTTTTCTGATTGGTTGATGAATTGGATTGATTTCAATATGCTTCTTGATTGCTGATTGACCTGAGTGCCAGGCTTCTAAAAATTCTCTGGTGTTTTTGGAGTTTCCTCTGTCTAATATTTCCACATTTTTCCAATCGAATGAGTGTCCGCAGTTGTCCACATGTATTGATATAAGTGAAGAGATATCATGCCGTTTGACTGCTAATTGATGTTCATGTAGGCGAAGGTGAAGGGGGCGTCCGCTTTGTCCGATGTAGTGTTTTTCGCAGTTGGCACAATTTATTTTGTAGATGGTGTTTGATTTGTTTTCCTTTGTTATTTCATCTTTTGGTTTGCATAGGATTGATTGTAGTGATTTTGTCGGTTTGTGTGCCACACCTATTCCGAAGGTTTTCAGCAGTCTCGTCGCGGTTTCTGGTATTCCTTGTATATATGGTAGGGTGGTCCTTTTGTTGATTTTTATGCTTGACTTGGACAACTGCGGACACTCATTCGATTGGAAAAATGTGGAACCAATCAACGTTGAGGTGTACAGAACAAGCTTTGAGACACATGGAGAAATTCAAACACTTCACTTCTATCTGAAGTTTGTGCTGATGATGTCGTTCAGAAGAACGATGAAAGCTCCACGACCAAACCATCCAGCTCAGAGAACAAAACTCCACTAAAAACATTCTTTAGTGTTTGACCTTATAGTGGTTAATACTGTTATTCGAACTTTTTGATAGTCCTTTTGCATGTAAATTCATTTCACCATACTAATACACTGTGTCAAATTGGGCTAACAAACATTTGCGCTAGGCTGCTTGTTGATTATGATAGTTGTTATTGAACTCGTGATCTTTAGGTTTGTTGTAGATAAATTCATTGTTTGCCTTAGTAATAATGTTATTACTGTACACACAGTTCTTAAACTTAACACAGTCTTCTAACTCCTACTATTAGTTACTATTATTGATTTATACATTGTTATTTTAGAATTTGACAGATTAAGTTTGTCATTTTTTTTATCATAAAAAACACTTAATACTAAATATATATAAACGACTATTCTCATATTAGTTCGTAATTAAACAATTTGTAACCAATCTTTGTTGGCTGGTTACTGCACTTCAATAATTAGCAGTTAAATATTGATTTAAAGTCGGTAATCTACTCAAAATCTCTCGTATAAATCTGACTCTATACCAAATTTTTTTTAGTTATGATACTTATTCACTGAATGTAGGTTTGTGCACTCAGCTTCGAGCCACATTACTTGTGTAAGGGATTATAGGATAGTTATACACCCTAGCTGTTCAGATTACTTATTTATTTATTTGAACACATAAATATTGATACAAGAGGGCACCAAATCCATATGCGCCACACAAAACAATGAGAATTTGGGGAGAAGAGGGAAAAAAAGTAAGGAGCGTAAAAAATAACAATAACGTACAGACTAATGTAAGATAGTGTAATAATAATAATAGAAGGGAACGAAAATGTACAATCAGAAGAAATCTTTCAGTTAAGGAAGAAACAACCACTTTTTATGAAGAAAGTAAAAGAAGGTTACAGTAGGATCGCCACTGGCTTCTATTCTGAGCCATATCTGATAACATCTCTAGCCACTGTGTAGCACCATCTCTCGGACCCCAACCAGGGAGTCGTGAAGAACCAACACAAGCCAGCCCTTTGCAGCTTTCTTTCAAATTAAACTACTTCCATCTGAATTTGAACTAGATCTTGTCTTTGATCTTATTCAATACTTGTTTATGTAACGACATTTGTATTTTGTTTTCTTTTCATCTTTTCTAAGGTCAATGTATTGGTCATGCAAATTGGCGATATTTTTGTAATACTTTATTATATGGTATATTAGGTTGTGCATTTATAAGTTATTATAATTTAATATTAATATTTCAATCAAATTATTTTCCTATAACATGGTCTATTTATTATCGACTATTATGTATGATTGCACCACCTGGTTTTATGTGGTTAACTGGTTATTTAACATTTTTACAAAGTATCATCTTCTTGACAACAAGTTTATCAACTATCATTACATGTTTATTATTTGTATTTATAATTTATGAATTCAATTTAATGTTCACGAATCAAACAATGTTTGAACGTACATTCAAATCATTCGATCAATTCTATTGGAGTAATAATTATGATAATCATATGACATGTATTAAAAAATTTGGAGAAGAGATGAATAATGGTAGTAGTGGTACTACAATGACAAGTACATCTGTACTACATCATCGACAACAAGAATCATTATCCAATCACTATCCATCTTTATATAATATCGGTTATAAAAATAATATTAAACAATATTTAGGTGAACGTTGGATTCTTGCTATTCTATGTCCATTTGTTCATTCTCCATTAACAACAGATGGATTAAGTTTTCCAACATCAGATAGTATAAAATTTAAATGATTGTTTTTTTTTGTTTCCATATATCTTTATGTTTATCTAATGTATTTTGTATAGTATTCTTTTTTGTGTGTTCAATTTGATTTTTCTGTTTGTAAATAACTACCATATGCATTTGATTATAAAACTATTTCATTTGTTTTTCTTTTCTTCATTATTTTCATTATACTTGTGTATGGACTGTGATACTGTCCGGGTGCCCAGACAGAAGTAGGTGGTTTCCTTAGGGGGCCACACCCCGACCCTTTGACCTAAAGGTCTGGTCCACAAGGCAGTGGAGCATCGTAAGGAGATACAGTCCCATGGTAGCCGGTGACCAACGATTGGTTCTTACGACATCAATTCCTTCAGGATACTGGAACCCATGTACACCATTGCTTTGGAATCCGGTTAAAACGCCGGATATTCGCTTTTCGTCCTCTCATTTTCGTGAACAACACCCCCTCCACGAGAAGGCAGTAAGTAGAAGTTCCCTGGCAGAGGCTGTATACGCGTGGCCATGTGAGAGCATTTCAAGAGGGAGGGCGGGCCTACCCACTCTCGGCCATACCAGGGCATTTGGGGGCGATTATAAAAGTATAGACTTACTAATGTTTTCAAATTGTTTATTTGAAAAGAATTGCCAATAGAAGTCTGTAATGAACTAAGGTTTTAAAAAGTCCCTAAAGTAATGATTGTTTATTAAACTTATTTACCTGGTAAATAAGTTTAATATTTATTTACCAGGTGCCCCAAATGCCCTGGAGAGAGTCCGCTCTCCTCGAAATGCCACGCGTATATAGCCTCTGCCAGGAAAGCCCTACTCACTGATTCCTCGTGGCATTGTTGTTGTTTATGAAATTGAGAGAACGAAAAGCGAATGCCCAGCGCTTTAACCGGGTTGGTGGACATGGAGAGTCCACCTAGGGGAGTTGGAAAATCCTCATTCCAAACCAATACTGCACATGGGCTCCAGTATCCTGAAGGAACAAATGGCGTGTGAACCAATCGTTGGTCACTGGCTACCATGTGACTGTAATTCCTTACGATGCTCCACTGCCTTGTGGATCAGACCTTCAGGTCGAAGGCTCCGGGTGTGCCCCCTTAAGAAAACCACCTGGTTCGTTTTGGGCATTCGGGTAGTATCACAGCCCTCACACAAATCGAATGATTTATGTGGCGCGTATGTATTTGGTGCCTTCTTGTACCAATATCTATGTGTTAAAATAAATAATAAATAAATTTACCAGGTATAGATTTATATATTTAGGTTATAGTTATAATCTAGGTGTGAGGGCCAGTAATGTTATCTAGTTGTTGAAACTAAAGTAGATTGATATTCAAACCTGTGAATTAGTGACTGAAAGTTGGAGATCTTGTTGTTAAGTTATGGCTAACAACTGTAATGACCTCATAGAGGACTATTGACTTCAATGTATTTGCTTAACTATACCCAGTCATGTCGTTTGGAATGTAGTAAGATCAAAAGCAGAATTTTCAGATTTATTAACAAAGTCGTATTAGTGATTGAACCAAAATCTAGTTGTAAAGCGTTTACCATATAAAATCAACATCTCTAAGTACCTTACTTCCTTACATGTTTACGAAGAAAGACTTGTGTCTGTAATTTGTTCACTACTCTTGCTGCGTATATTTCTAATGCCTATTATGAAAATTTCTAAGTTACGCTGTAGACAGTACAGGAAATTAAAAAGTATTCATGAGAATGACATTTATTACCGAACTCGAGCAGATGTTCCTTGAATAGTGTAGCCACACTCTTGGGTGAAAAAGATCATTCGATTTTCTTGTTAGATTTACTACAAAAAACAAACCAAGGTATAGAAAGTATCGGTATTCAATTGCACAGAACTATACCCCAAGTTATTCTTTTCGTCACTAACCATGTTTTCGTTTCAATTCCCACTTGACCTGTAATAGATTCGACTTCCCTCATTTAGGGATTCAATCCTAACGGGAACACCAATAACTTCAGGGAACCATTTCGAGACTACAAGTCAACAGAAGGGTTTACTAATAAAGGCTTCATAATTCTTTACCGTAAATATTTATTATGTTTCTAAAATCCAGTTATATGATCCAGATGTGCTTATGAAACTAAACAATTTCTGTAAACTGTCATTGTTTATCCTTCGAACATCAAGCTATTCTAGAGCAGATTGGTATGGTTTGTCACATATATATTCTTCGTATTTAGTTAGGAAGTAGAAAATGTGTTTGTGCACTGTCCAGTTGAATGGGATTATATGAAATTGGAAGGGTCGAAATATGCTTTATTATCTACGTATACATTTCCACTAACTGAGGATTTGAAGAAATAGATTAGCTAAATTTATCCATTTGTTCTCGTGGCGGGGGTGTTGTTGACAAAATTGAGAGGATGAAAAGAGAATGTCCGGCGCTTTAACAGGGTTGGGAAACCTTGATTCCAAACCAATGGTATACATAGGCTCCAGGATCCTAAGGAAACAAATGGCGTATAAACCAATTATTGGTCACCGGCTACCATGGGACTGCATCTCCAAACGTTGCTCCACCGCCTTATGGATTAGATTTCGGTGAAATAAGCAACCAAGCAAATAAATAGAAGATCAGTAGCATTGTCAACGTAGATTTTGTTTCGTCGCAAAGGTGTTTTACATTTTATGAAAAGTGTTTTAAAACTAAAATGAATTCGTCACTGGTCACTATAGCGTGTATTATTTGATAATGTCTGGAACGATTGATGTTATAACCCGACGAGAAGAATGAAACGTAACTGTTGGGATCTATTTATGGACTAATACTATACATATATTCCTATTGTATAATTGTTAAATAACTAAACTACATCTACTTATATTCCTCTTATTATAAGCTTTTGATTGACCTGTGGGTTACTGTTTTATAACTTACTATTCTCAAGTTACTCTCAGTCTATTAGTCACAGTTCCTCCTAATCACAACCACTTTTGGCTAGATCTTCTACAAATCTTATTTTCTATTTTATGACATGATGTGGTCCGATTTGTTTGTATAGAAACTCAGTATGTTTGAAATATATGATTTGTATCGCAGAGGATGATATTGGTGTTCTGGACTTAACAGGCAGGACTAGGCGGAAAAACGACTAATTGTGAATCTAGGTTTCTCGTACTGGTGTATGCGTCATTATTTAGCGATAATCATATAGTTAAAGACATAACAGTTGAGCTACCCAATTTCTAAGGCTCATGGTAGGTCAGCTGATGTCAGCTCAATAAACTTAAATTTAATTCCACGGTACCATACCACAAAGTAACCATGTCTCTGTTTTCACTCATTTCTGACGTTGTCATACCATTTTATGAGAAGTGGGCAGCTGGATATCCAAACATGACCAAAATACCGTAGTCGATATTTTAAGATAAAAACGTTCATTAGATCACTATCTCCATGATACCTAGGCACAGATTGTCAAACTTTGTTATTACCTATTGCTATGTTCGGGGGATTACGATATCAGCAACAATGTAAACTATTCCACTGCGCCCCAGCCCTGCTGAGTAGATGGAGAAGACCAGATTCAACCGAGGGAAATGTATATTCCACAAGCAGTCAGAAGTACGAACAACTCATGCGTATATATACAGCACAAAAATGTCCTTGGGAAACGTCACAAAATAGACAAAGAACCAATGACATATGTTAGGACAATATCTAACAGACCCCCAATAGTTACTCTGTCTGGTCTAATTACTAAGCAAACTTTCAGTTCTGAGATCTAGACAATTACCACCTCTATTTTTTAGGTGATGTGCATTTTATGTAAATTCTTTACAACTCCTATAGTTATCACATAATCTCTTTGACTAGTTCCCGGACTTCATTTAATTATTGCCTCACCGGCCTCCGTGTTTATTAAATTCCATCTTTAAATGACCTCACACCTTTTCACTCATATATATACATATATATATATATATATATATATATATATATATATATATATATATATATATATATATATATATATATATATATATATATATATATATACGGTTATTACTGATGAACTTTTTATTTAAATAATGAACCTGTCAATGTTAGACCACTACTGAAAACCTGGACACACTGGATTGCCATCCCGTCCTATTATGGAACTCCTCAATAGTATACATCCACGATCCCGCGTATAGGACTCTAATCTAGGACATTCGGTCCCGTGTGGATGTCTAGCCTCTCGACCACTGAGGTGGCATCCAATGGTGTTAATGTCCAACTGATCCATGGTGTTGTGCGACCATCTTCCATTGTCTTCGGAGAGTACCTGCCTCACATTCAACACAGTTGGACTCCACTGGTCACAGCTTCTCAATAAAACTCCGAGAATTCCCACTCAAGGCTAGTCAATAGTGATGCATGGATGCCTACTCCTGAGGATTCCTGTACTAGGACGAAATGGCCGTCCAGTGCTTCTAGACTTTGGATGTTGGTCTAACATTGAGTGGTTTATGATTTCGATGAAATTCAACGATCTACACAACCCCAAACTGCAAACTTTCTTTTATTCTTTCTGGAATCAATGTCATTTATGGTGAGACTATAATTTATGGACGACCTTTGAACGACATCAAACGGACCTCGATAATGTCCACTCACTAACTAGGACTAAATGGGGGTAGTCCTCTCTAGTTACTTCCAAGTGCTACTCATTCTTTCGACGTCTTCTCTCAATTACCGCCTCCGTTCGTTTTTTGGTCTACCCTCTTCCTTCCACTTTGGGGATTTCAAGTTCGGGGTTGCCTCGTGATGCAGTTTGACTTCCGCAATGTGTGTCCTAACTAACTCCAACGCCTTTTACTAATTACCTCTTCACCTAGAAGCTTGTATCTACAGATTATCGCCTCAATAGTTTAACTTATTTTATCAGAATTAGACCACTGTACAAATGTTTTTTACACTTCTTCAACAGTGAAATTTTCCATTTTTTATTAATGCACTGATGGATATGATCTGGAGGACCCTTGGAATACAAGGAGCACTAGTTAACTGTCGTTCCACCAGTCCCCAATCCTTTCAACGTCTTATAGACATGTAACTAGGCCTTCAACAATCGTGCTGATCACAATCAGTTTTGTTAATTTACTGGATGATTAATGGGAGCCAAGTAGCATTGAACT